ACATATTGTCTTGCCTTTATAAAACAATTAAAACTGCAGAAACATCCCTGAAAACTACTACAGTATTCTTGAATTGTCATGAGGGGGGAATGAAAGCTTTTGTTAGTCAGGCGGAGGGAGAGTAGTGTGTGTTACTTCCCACAGTAATTAGCACCTGGGGAATGAGGCACGATGGTGGACTGGTCTTGAAATCAAAGATAGTGGCCTGTAGTAGTGGCATGAGGTACTGACTAGGCAACTCAACTCTAATTAGATTTGCTGCTTCTAGGAGTCAACCTCGGCTTCTATCTCCCTCTTCTATGGGTGTGAGGTGTGATGGCCAACACTCCCAGATAATAATAATAGCTTGATTAAGGGTGTCATGTCATTACTAATTATCCTATCACACTGCCCATAGTATAACACCAGGGCCACATAGGACACTCCCTGGAAGGACTTGTACATTTCCATGGCATACTAAGCAACACTACCTTGAGTATTAATCACATTGTCAGGATACACTGTCATGAATACCTTCCTCAGCTCATAAAAAGAGTGAACCTGAACATTCTGCTGGATACATAGAAATTCCCTGACTCTACAATTAATGTCATTACAGACAAAAGAGCTAAGTGTCCTACTCACAACTGACCAGCTTTACCTAACATCTGCGGGGCAGGTCAATGAATAACAGCAACAATGTTGACAGTGGGTCCTGGAGTAGGGCAGTTGCCCGAGGTCAATGCAGTTATGGTAGAGGCACGGAGGTTGATCACAGAGGCTGAAACAGTACCTCAGAATCTTGCAAGTTACTGCTATGACCAGACTGACTACAAACATGTCCATCCATTACACTTGTGTTTAATATCTTATTTTCTTTCATGGATGTTTGTCCTGTACTGGTGACAAGTATTATATATACAGGCAGTCCCCGAATTACGACGGGGTTAGGGACCCAAATCCAGGCCGTAAGTCAAAAATACTTAAATAATACATAGAAAATCTAAAATGGGTGTCTCTTTTTCTTCTCAGCACCACAAAACTCTCACTTTTAAGCTTGCCAGCCATTTTAAAGGGAATTACAAACGAAAATTTTGTCAGTACACAGCGCAATCACTAACGTCAGGACTCGAAAATATCCGGGTGGTCGTAAGTCGAGGAGTACCTGTATAGCATTCTTATAATTATTAGAATCACAATATAAATACTATAAGTTCAGGCCCCTTCATATTGTTCTCATTAATCTCCTAAGGCAAGTAAGTAGATATATAAATAAATAAATAAATAAACAAATACAATGCCTCTAAAATTATCTTCCACTGGAAAGCACAAATTATGAATATTTATTTTTCTTTCACCAGAACAGTGAGTGTAACAAAACCATTACTGTACCTTACAAGCTCAAGGTTTCATCTACATCAATAAATACTGGAGAGACCTATGGTGGGGTGTACTGGAGACGGGGAACACGAGGCAAGTTATTTAACACATCTCAATGGCTGTTGTTGTGGTGCTGGAACAAGACATCTCACACACACACACACACACACACACACACATAGATGCTGATGAAATAGAGAGACAAATCCTCTGTCCATGTATACTGTACTGTGACCCCAATTAACGATATTGAAATTTGAGTAGTATTCCTCTTACCCAAAGCCATCTCATTACCAGTAGAATAATCTGTGTACAAATTTTTAAGATCATGCAAATAGTTTTTCAGTTAAAAAGAGGAGGGGAGGGAGGGGGAGGGGGGAGCAGATGGAACTTTTTCATTATGGAGAAGAAAAAAATCTAAGCTTCTGTTTGCTCACTCGTTTGTGTTCCAGTCTCCTAAACATCTGTACAATACTACCTATACAGTATAAGTAATTAAACCATGAAAGAATATAACTCATTGAAAATAATATTAAACCTTGAAGGATATGTCTTTCAGGCTCTTTTATAAACTATTAGTACCAGACAGAGTGGAACATGGGAGAGATCCAGTACAGCAAAGCCTTTCTTACACTGATGAATCTTTCTATCGCCAAATCTACATTATAGAGCCATTGTGCCACACTTCTCTGACCTTTATAAAATCACCTCAAGCTTTTTTCCTCCAATCTATTAATATTTATTCATTACGTTGGTCTTTTTTTAACACATTTCTCTGACTTATAAAAGTTACCTCGAGAGCTTATTTTTTCCAATCTATTAATAATCATTCCTTCCCTCACCATTTAACCACTTCTGTAACATGGCTGACACTAAACACAATTTTTTCCAACACATTTTTGTACAAGAGTTGCAGGGAGAAGAGACCGTTTCACTTTATATTATGGTAGTTATTCCCACAAGTATACAATTCTTTGATAAATAAAGTATTCCAAAGTTCCATAGTTTGATCACCAGAAGCTTTGGATGAAATGGCAATGATAAAATACTGTATGAAGACTGACTATGTGACAGCAATTTTCAAGGGGTTACTGTAAATTCTCAAATAGCAAAAGGTATCAAAGATGAGGACTATACCTGTACCATAAATTATTTGGTACAGTACTGTATATAACACCCTGGATAGTACCTAGATTGTATGCTATATATATATACGTCACTGTACATAGCTGAGTAAAAAAAATAAACACCCTGTACTGTACCTTGAAATAACAGAGGATATATATTTTCAAAGGTAACTACACTAGTATAGTATTGTTATAAAATCTCTATATGGGACACATCAAGCTTACAGAGATTTCATGTCTTGCTAATTTCTGATATATAAGTACGTATAGGCATAATAAAATCGATTATTTAATACATCATTCATTAAATCAAATGAAATTTTTTATTATTTCAACATTAGTACCAACACTACCTTAAATGCTCATATTTGAACTGCTTCACCCATTCTCAATGAAGCAGCTCACACTTCCTCTCATCCGACTCCTCAGTTAATGCATTACAGTACAGTGAAACTTCTATTTAACGGACAACGTACAATATATGAAGAGGAAATTCTGTTATATCGAGGGTCTATTTGATAATTTTGATATGAAACCTCCATCTAACGAACTATAGATGAAAGTCCGTTATAAGGAGGTTTCACTGTACACAATTTTCCTCATTTACTCATCTGTAAACATCAACTGTTACTCATATCTTTCATTTCATCTTTGGTTTACTATTACACCTTCTACTTCAGTTATTTAAGTGTAATAATGTCATCATCATTCATTTCATATAATCTCTCTTATTCCGCCCAGCCAACCAGGTACAACTACATGTACGGTACTTATTATCCCTAAACTTCTGATTTATTACACTACTATTGTACTGTACACTCTTCAAGGCTGCAACACTCGCAACATAATAAAACTCCACGTTCCCTTCTTCTTACAACATGACTCGTAGTGCCAGCAATATGTTTACACCTCGGTAACCTTTCTATTACTTTAATTTACTTTTCCTATCATGCATAACAGCAGGTGGTCATTGAGAAGCTTAGTAAAGAAAGTACAGTATTGGCTATGGAACATTTCTGGACTTGGAGAAAGTTCACAATATGATAAATGGTGCGGCCCCGTGAGAAGTCCTCCCATGAGATTCAAAAGTTTATTAAAGGCTGTTAAACCCCTTCACTACTGGGATACCATTTTTAATATTTCAGTTGGCCAATGCCAGCCAATTTTATTCAGCTCAGAGGGCAGGGGGGGGGGGGCTCATATGCAAGGAGTCAAGTGTGTTTAGGGTGGCAGCAAAGCACATGTGACAGCTAATAGTGGTGTGTGCAGGTGGTTTAGCTTGTAAAACATTGGTGATTCAATGTCCTTATGGATGGAGTAATAGGAGACATTAAAACCGCTGTGGAAAAGATACAGTATGGGCATATGGCGTGAATAGCAAGTGAGAGACTGGTAAGCATTTATAATACGTAGTACAGTTGCTGGCATAATAGTAAAAGGAAGACCGAAGACAAGAACAAGAAAAGAGAAGTTAAATAATGAAAGAAGCAAGGCAGTGGGTCATATATGGCAGTTGTTTCCTGCATTGATGAGTGTGTTAATTCATTTCAGTTAAGAACAATGAAATTAAATGAAACTTTGTGAATTAATATGAAGATTAAGGATTCAATTTGTATAAACGTTGAGGATATGAGCAAGTGTGTGTGCGCGCGTGCACGCGTGTGTGTTATTTCTACTTCTCTTGGCTTTTCTGCTAATTTGTGTATACTTGTCTTACACCACTATCATCTTTCTCTGATAGTTCTGTACCCCTTGATCCACCCAACAAAAAATCAAGAAGACAATGAGACAGACAGAGATACTGTAGATATTTCGTGTATTAAAAAAAAAAAAAACGCTGAAAAATTCCACACAATTTCTTTTCTCACTAATTCATTCTTAAGTCCTTCTTTCTTCAACAACACTGACTACCTTCAATTTACTCGCATATTCCCTTGTGATGCTAACACACACCCAAACAACCCACTAACTTCAATGCCATGACTCACTTCACTGCTCAATTTGGTTTACAATAGATCTTGACTAGACATTTCTTCCTATTTCATCATCAATAACTCCCTTCATGACAACACTAACATGATTACAGTATCAAGTGTTACAAGAATCACTACAAGAATAAACCTTTACTCCCCGAACTTATCACGTGACCCCCCCACAAGACCATACACTGGGATGCAAGCTCTCTCGTCTTCACACTGTATTTAGTACAGTATAGTATCTTTCAACACATACACTACAGACCACAACAACGGAAGCAGCAAACCTGTCCCATACGTAAGTTAACAGGATTCCTTTGATGTTATTATGACTCTGCACAAACCAAAATCCAAGTCTTGTCACTTTTGCAACAAACATTCAAAGTGAAAATAGGCTGGATCTAATATCTAATCTCAACATCATAATGCAAGAGATTGTTTACTGGATCGAATTCCAAGTTGAAAATCAAGAAAGTTCCATCACTGTTTCATTGGGACTGATTCATGTGGTCAGTGAGTGATGAAGCAATAGACTGTATGGAGTTAGCACTTTATAGACAAGTGTATGTGTGGTAAACATGAGGATGGTTAATGACAAAAGTTTTCAGAGTAAAGACATGATAACTATGAACAGGATGCCATATAATGTATTACATTGTCTTATTGTAAAGAATGAGATTCATTGGGATTTTTCCAACATGTGAGGCATCTAGTGTTTTGTACATGAACATTAACAAGACAAGTTCCTTATATCTCTAATCTAAAAACAAGTTCTATTAAGTTTCATGCATTTTTTCTTTAAGCTCATTTTTGTAAAACTATGAAATTATATTAATTATTCTTTATCATGAATGGAATGACATAACTTCTATAGTACTGGTATAACATGTATGAAAAATATGTGCACTTAACCTAACCTTTCATGATGGGGGAAATTTGGGGGCCATGTTGATTGCATTACATTGACTACAGTATGGCCTAGCTTGGTGGACTGAGAGCCGTATCTCGAGTCTATACAACTCAAGGCCTTTATAGTTGTTTGTTTAATTATACCAGGGTGGTGTTGGGTGTACCAGGGTGGTGTTGGGTATACCAGGGTGGTGTTGGGTATACCAGGGTGGTGTTGGGTATACCAGGGTGGTGTTGGGTATACCAGGGTGGTGTTGGGTATACCAGGGTGGTGTTGGGTATACCAGGGTGGTGTTGGGTATACCAGGGTGGTGTTGGGTATACCAGGGTGGTGTTGGGTATACCAGGGTGGTGTTGGGTATACCAGGGTGGTGTTGGGTATACCAGGGTGGTGTTGGGTATACCAGGGTGGTGTTGGGTATACCAGGGTGGTGTTGGGTATACCAGGGTGGTGTTGGGCATGAATGGTGGAGTCCCTTGTATGTAGGAGACACCCGGGTTGGGGCACAAGTTTGTCGTCTTGAGATTCCTTTAACAATCATTTACAAACATCAAGTGTGAGCTGTTATAAATATAGCATCTGTAACTCTTACTAGCACAGTATTACCAAACCATTTAATATTCATCTATCTATTTTATCATCTCTGTTGACCGTGCCTATGGTCATCACCCCATCTACCCAACCATACCCAAACACACACACACACACATACACAAAGCTTTGAATCATCTTGCTCTATGTTATTTTCACATGCTAATTTTCTTTTTAAATTTCCCCAGAACCTTAAAGTACTGCATCAAAGTAAAGTGTATTACAGTAATAAGTGTTGGTGTTCATATGGAGCAAACTCTTTAAATGCCAGGCCTTTCCGGCATTCTCAAACAGGACACTAAGGTACCACCTCTCATGCTGGCCATCACTTAACACAACACATGCAATAAAAGACAAACCAGGTCCTTGTGGTCACTCCACCTTAAGCCATGAACCACTTGTTTCGATATTATCAATAGTAATTATAATAATAATATTTCAATACACTAGAGAAAAAAATACCCAGCCTAATTTAACATTTCCAAAATTGCACATGAGAAGGAGGACATTTTAAAGATATATGTTGAGGGGTGGGAGAGAGAAAGCTAACTCAAACTAATTCACAGGTTCAACAATTAGTGTCTTGAGAACATGTCCATGGATCAACGACTTCAGTTTTGAAATGTACAAAAGAGAGAGACATGGTAATGACTAATAATATGTAAATAACCTGCCAATTCAAGGACATACATTTGTTTCAGGTTGGTTCATAGAACATCCTTTCTAAACACTGTATTGAATTCCTTAAGACATACAGTATACTGTACATAAATTTGATTAACTAAACATTAAAAACTTGGTAGTTCAAGATATCTCGCCACACCTGACAGTGATGGAACATTACCTCTGCCACACCACCATTACCACATTGGCTCAGATTTGCCCAAGAACATCCTCAAATGATAAAACAACATGTTGACACTCTTGATGTGTTATAATTTCAAGTAAATGAGAGAAAGAGGAAGGTGTCTGAACTAACAAGCTGTAACTGAGTATATGGCAGACACAACAATCAAGTGTTACTTCCTGTACTTCTTTTCCTTATTAAATTGAAATCTGTTTCATCAGAGTGCCTCTTACATCACCATATTTGTCTTTCTTTGTATATATATATATATATATATATATATATATATATATATATATATATATATATATATATATATATATATATATATATATATATATATATATATATATATATATATATATATATATATAAAATAAAAAATAAAAAATAAAAGTAATATTATAAAAATCTAAATTTAATATACGTACTCTTATAACCTGATAATCACATAAGAAAAAAAAGAAAACACAAAGTTCCCAAGCGCTTTTGTGTATTTCACCTCTTTGGGGTGAGTCGTGTGACATAGACGAAAGTGCTTGGAAACTTTGTATTTGCTTTTTCCTTCATGGTTATCAGCATATACCTGGCTCACATGCACCTACAGTGATTTACTTGCATACTTTCATAAATCAAAGACTCCTGTACCAAGGTATCTACCATCTTGAATAAGAGGACCACAAACACAACATGATATACCAACAGACACCTGGTCTTCTCGAGTCAGGTGTCTCTCCCTCACTTGGGGGGGTCTATACAGCCTGATGGGTACAGTATAGTATATAATTACCCAAATATATCAACGGTGCCTCTTACCAAGCACAGTTTATCTTGAAGAAACCAAATGTTTATTCTGAGTCACAATTACCCCCACCTCTGACTTATAACCCAAAACACACACACACCCTTTTGTCTACCCCTAAGAGCACCTTACTGAAGTTCGGTGATGGCACAGTGTGAATAACAAAAGTCACAGTGCAAAAACCAATAATCCAAAAAAATGGGTAGAAACAGCTTAATGTTACACACGGTTCCTGTGGTAGGAGACAGATACAGTACATGACTTGCAGAAGATCCCCCAAGTTGGTTACTACAGTACAGTACCTCGACTTTTGATGCAGTGACCCAAACCTCAAGAAGTAAAGGGACCAAGGGGCCTACCAAATGTCACATTCATGGAGACTCGACCTTTCATAACTTGCATTTAAATTTTTTTTAACAACAACGACCATCTTGACGTCTGACCCAATAAACTTAGATTCAAAGGTAAATTTCCTCTTTTTCTCAGGGGGTTAAATACCTAAGGTACAGTAATATCCCGATAACAGGTGCACAGACACTCAAGGTACATTTCAGAAATCAAAATGTTAACAAATACAGAAAAACAAACAAATTCTATACTGTACCATTAAATACTCTTTGTGGATGTATAAAAATTACCCCAGAAATCAAAAACAAGGAGTGGCATTATTTCCTTTATGAAATCCTAAAAAAAAATAATACTAATAAAAAAAAAAATAAATAAAAATTGTGATATTAAATATGTCACACTGTTCAAGTTTCATTTTTAAAAAAAGTTTAACATTATATAATTTTATTGCAATAAAAAGATTGCATACATTCAAAATTTTGGTGTCACAGTTAGTTTTGTTGTATAAATGAGCATGTGTTTATACGGTGTCCACCTTCTGTTGAAGATGAAGGGACGTGTATTTCTCTGGCCAGCTGGGTTGAGAATTTCCTTGAAGTACTGTAGATTGTCCACTTCCAGGTCTATGTAGGTGGCAGGCAACATTACATGTGTTAAGAGCATCAACTATTAGTTAACACTTCGCATGCAATGAGCATTACTGTGTTATCCTTATACATATCACTCTAAAATATCAACTGGTTCCTCTCACACATTGCTTGTGGTTGTGTGCAAATAAATGATAAAAGGAAAAAATATCTTACTCTCTAAAACATGAAATATTCTTACACCTTTGAGACAACAGATTCTAGTTAAATAATTTGATAATGGGGATGTGTGTGTGTCATTTGTATCCTAAACTAAAATGACTGGAATCAAAGAACACTTTCCTCTTATATTTCTATCATCATTTTCTTTGTGATTGGTGACTCCACACTGTGTACTGCCACTGTAAAATATAGGCTCCTGATGCATGTGTTCATTACCCTTACAAATCAGGGCTTAATTTTCATAATTATATATAACTACTTTGTAAAAAAAAACTTTAAGAGTAAACAGTTATGACAGAATTTTCAATAATTTAATACTACACTGAGAGTCTTCTTAGATCTGTCCAATGAGATCCATCCAAATATTGCAGCAAAATTTTCTTGTAGTTTTTTTTTTTTTTAAGTTTTCTGTCAAGTCCACCCTTGGCTAGTAGGTATATAAAGTAATATCCTATTCCAGTGTCCAACTTTACAACATAATACTTGGATACTTCACTAGGATGTTTTTATAAGTGGCCTAGGATCTGTCTTAAACATAATCACAGGTGACAGTGGTGGTAGACTGCTGCAGCTCACCCACCACACATGCCCAGGACACATACACCTTACATCACCTCTCATCGTTCCTCTATGTTAAGGGTCTCCTGGGGGTACAGCTTGTAGTCCATTAACGTCTTGGAGACATCTAATGCACTCACCTACGGGACAGCACAGAGATAATTACTAACACCTCGATCACTCTGTATAGTGGATTTGATGGGCAGGAGAGAACACAGGAGAGAGCCAAGTTTCTCTAACATTTCAGGCTACACAGAAAAATATAGAAGCTTGGATCTTTCCTGTGTTTCCCTCCCACCCATCAAATCCACTTGTCGTCATGGATCGATCACTCTAGATAGTGTTTTACTTTCTCGTAATATACAAAGAGAAATAAGCAACGTCTGTCTTCTGTCATTAATTATCAAGACCACCACCGAGACGATGCAGTCACTCTAACAGCGCAGTACTACAGTACTTACATCTCTCCGTGGCCAAGACTGAAGACACTTGTACTCATCAGCAGGATAACCCTTCACATGCAGGAAGTTGAGCAGCACCTGACAACACAACATAATTAGTCACCCATGTTCCATCCTTAATTTTTTACCTAAGTTAGAAAACAAAAAAAGAAAACAAAAACAAAACCTAGATTTAAGGCATGTTTTAGTATATTTAAAAAAAACTTTCAATATTATAACAATTAACACCTAGGTAATACGTTTCTTTCGATCAAGTTTTAACAGGCAATAGCTTGATTCACTGACTGATCCAGATTAAAAACATTTCAATTTACAATAACCTTTGCAAAATACTAAGCATTAACTTTTGCTAATTATCTCAGCTTCTCATCAATAGTCTACTACAGGTACTCCATAATGTAAATACAGGGTATAACTGTATATCTAGTCCTCCATTCCACTGTCCATTCCACAACAAGATCGCCTCTGAAATTCATCTGTCGAGATGTTTAAAAAAATTAGCAGTCTCTTGCATGCCGTCTCGTGCGTTCTCTCCATCTTTACTTTAGCAGTCTCCTACCAAACAATCTCTCACACAATCAATTAATCTGACACATACTCAAAAATTATCCATACAATCAATTAATCTCTCAACCAATCACACAAACACACTCAAACAATCTAGAGCACGACTTGTGGAAGGAAGAAGTACACAAGCCTTAAAATTACAGTGGTATATCCCAAATGAAAACACAAAGCAAAACCAGCCACTATATACACAAAACATAAACTAACCTGGAGGGTCGTATTCGCTAGGAAATTTCGACTGAAAGTTTCACCGCCAGGGATGCGGAAACGTAATGTGGCCACGGGGTATGGGCAGTCTGAACTGGGCTCTTGAGGTATATCAGTTTCAAGTGATGCTCTGACAGCCTGCAAACAATCAAAATTAAATATAGTTTCAAGTGATGCTCTGACAGCCTGCAAACAATACAAATATGAATCGCTCTCAGGGGAACAGTGAAAAATACCAGGGAGAGACACACACACACACACACCTCTTTGATGGCCTCCTCTTGTTGCTTGATTGATTCTACTCTTTCCCTCTCTTGTTTTTCTTCCATCTCTGCCTGCTTCTTTGCTGCTGCCTGAATAACACAAAAAAAAGGGCATTTAAATGAACCTCGTCCAGTCTGGGGTTATTTCATGAGCGCCCCAAAAGAGAAACGAGAGAAAAAAAAATGATTCAAGAAATGTTGATTGGGTAGAATACATTTTTGGTTCAGTATAAAGGTTCAATAAAGATACATAAAATAAACACTATGAGAAGCAACACACGCACACACCTTTGCTCTGTCTGCTTTTAAGGACTCCATGTAGGCGGCGTCTTGTTCAGCTTTCACAGCCTCCCGTACTTCTCTGGCTTCTTCCTCCTGCACTTCTGTGGCTCTCTGTTCCTCGAACATCTCCGTCGCGTGCAGGAGAGCCGTCATTACCTCGTCTAGAACTCCATTACCTGATGTAGACAGATAGAGGAATATTTTTCACTTGAAATGTATGAAGTGGGTGTGTGTGTGTGTGTGTTGTTATGTGTTTTCACTGATCATGTACTTTTATTTTAGTTAAGAACTATGCAAATGTTTTCCTTTTACACATACGGAAACACCTGAAGATTACCACCCAGCTTATTTCACCTGATGATTAAACATCCTAATGGTACCCGGAGGATGAAGTTAGGTTAGGTTACGTAAGGTTAGGTTAGGTTAGCATTAGTGATTGACCATCAGGTGAATGAAATAAACTTGCAGGATTAGTTTTCAGGTAATCCCATTTATGTATACCTGTACGAGGTGGTATACACTTATTAACAATATACCTGCAAGTGTTAGGTCAATCTATTAAGAGTCAAGAAAGGTGCTACATACCGTGAATAACTGAAAGCACCTCAATGGTTCCTCTTGTGCGTGTGATCACCAACAGCGCTGGCAGTTTGTCTACACTAAAACTTCTTACTGTTGAGGAGGCCATCGACCCAAAATGGGTTGTGACTAAATTTAATAACCTGTGGGAAAAAAAAGTCAAATATATTCCTTCTACACCATTGGTCTGATTATAACTTATTACATCAGCTTGTTCACTCGGAGCTCACAATGTATAATATGAACAACTGCATTAAGTAAGAACAAGTAACTGTGTATTAACTATGAATGACTTGTATGTTAATGATGAGGTATGACTTGTGTATTAACTATAAGGAAGTGGGAGCAGAACAACAATACATACATTAACCACCACACACCCTCCCCAAGCACTACATTCCCTCCATTACACTCCACCAAAGCTAACTTCTATTTCCTGATGGGTTATTATCTGATGTTGAACACGAGGTAACTCTAGGTCTGACGGAGTGTCGTTTATGCATTGAAGGTGTTGATGAATTTATACAACGCTGTCCATGCCTCTATGCATCCATACAGTACACTACAGTCTAAGGCAATAAATTATAAAACTAATTTATCATCTTATACCAAACATTACATTCTCATTATGTATAAAACATGATGTAAAATACAAAATTTATAAAAAATATCAAAGTATGGGACTACAATACAGTGCACAATGAGAAAGTAAAGTACAGTACCTGGCTTTATTTGCTTCATGCGTTAGATCCCAGCCCCACACGACAAAGTTTGCCGATAAGTAGTCAACAACAGATATCTGGCAAAGAGCTTGTGAGCAGAAGACATTGGAGAGGACACTGCCATCATGATGTAAGTACACTGCTAGCAATTTTCTCTGTTGAACAAAATACAAACCTTCAGGATACTGTCAGCCGAGGGACAAAAGATGATGTGAGGAGGAAATAGATATTGATGCACTAATATTTAATTCAGAACCATGAAAATATAGTATAATCTCACAGAAAAACGTACAGCCATTCTATTACACACTGAACACAACACAATATTTAAATCAACATGTACTCAATGAGCGAGATAAAACACCCACATTTTTTGCTGGAAGTTGAACTGATTCCTTCAAGGCGTCTTCCAGCGATCCTTGATAGAACATGGGGACACAGCTTCCATACCGGTTACGAAACTCCTCGGAAAAGTGCATGACCCCCATCACCTCATCGTCCACGTCTGCTGGTACTGTGTGGGGAGGAGGGGGTGGAACACATACACACCATTAGATATGGGAAGTAAATATAGTCTTTCAAAGGTCTAAAACTGTAAGGGATCACATGAAGATTTAGCCAACCCTTTATACAATTAAAATTTCATATTGTGTGGACGTTATATTTTTTATGAAGAGAAATTACTCTCATCTCTCCCATATATAGAAGTATCTTGACTAGATATATCTTATTGAGTAAAAGACAGGATATATATTATCTAGTTTAAGAGACAGGAAAAGACAAAAGGATGAGGCCATGCAGACCATAACTTCGTAAGTGCCGCCCAGGTCAAAAACGTTTTTTATTCCATTGTTTTCCCATACTTATTGCCTCTCAATTCCAGGGCCGAAGGAGCGTGAAACAATATTTTGTAGAATTGAAAATCCCATTTGTTAAGGGGTTGTCAGCCGTAAGTTTGCAATGCTGGCGGGGCGTGTGCTCTTGTTCTCTTCCTCGCCTGCCGAGACACTCCAATGGTAACACATGGTGAATGACATCCATTCAGCTGGCAGACAAAGCCTAGTTCTTCCTTAACATCGTCAATGTTCACAGAAACCATCAGACACAGCGGTTACAGACGATGACAATGATAAAGAAGGGAAACACAGATCTACAGTGTAGTGACTCCTGCCATGTGACAGTGATAATGACCCGTCATTCTTGTGACTAATGTTAAGGCGTCATACGTAATAGTGTATTATCAATTTACGCATGAATGTGAGCCTGTGTGTGTGTGTGTGTATGTGTACATTATTTTGCATGGAAAAATCTTTGTTTGTACAGTACAGGCTGTCCCCGACTTACGACGGAGTTAGGTACCAAATCCAGGTCGCATGTCGAATTGATCGTAAGTCGAAAATGCAAAAAAATAATACATAGAAAATCTAAAATGAAATGCAGTACAATAAAAGTAATCAATAATGAAAAATGAATAAAGTGTTACTGTGCACTTACCTTTAATGTAGTCAGCTGAATGCACACGGGGCCCCAATAATTTTTTAATTAAACATGGAGACTACATTAATTGGATGACGGAGAGTGGAAGAGACAGGGCTGGGTGGGTCATCAATATCGCTTTCTTTAGACAGGTTAACATACTTGCTTGTGAAGGTATTGGATCATCTTTAGGGAGTGAAGAGGCAGCACTGGTGGGGTGTGAGGAGACAGCAGTGGGGGGACTCCTTAAAATATATGTCCAATTTAGACTGCACAGTTTGCCTTTTCTTTTCATTGTAAATATCCCTGTAGCAAGCAAGTGCATCTTGGATCAGTCTGTCAACTTTTGCAAAATGCTCAACATTTTGATCCATTTCTTCAGACATTTGCATCCCCTTATTAATAGTAGCAAATGCCTCTGCCATTTGTTTCTTCTGAGCACCACCAGAACTCACTTTTACGCTTGCCAGTCATTCTAAAGGGAATTAGAACCGAAAATATTGTCAGTACACAGTGCGATCACTACCGACAACAACGACAGCCAAACACCAACTGAGCGCGCTATGGCGTGGACGCTGTACACCACGAGGCGGCCCAGCCCACGCCACGCTCTCGTACGGGACGGAAACGTTTCGGTACTGGAAAACACATACCTAATTTGAAAAATTTTGGTACGACTGAGGCAGTAGTATGTCCGGGTGGTCATATGTCGAGGAGTACCTGTATTACCATATCTTTACAGTATTTCCATCACATACACCAATTTTTTGCCAGAAAATGAGGTTAAGGTGATTATTGTATTATGTTGATCTCGATAATCTCATGAACATTTTCAGTACTGATTATGATTAGTTATGATGTACACGAGTATCCAATATCAAAATATTCATATTTCATCATAATTTAATGCCTCTAAACTGTTAAGCTTATGACAAGATTTTTACTACAGTAACTGATTTTGGCGACATAATCCAAAGTACGTAAGCTTCAATTTGTTACAAGAATGACTACACTATCATATTTAGGTCAAGAGAAACAGTACTGTAGAGTGAGTTCCATTTTACAAAACTTTACCCATGTTCTCTGGCGTTTTTCTTTTTAGACGTAAACGAAGTTGTGGTCTGCAAGGCGTCACATTTGAACATGATAATTCACTCTCTACTTACTCAATGTCTGTGCCTTTTTAACTGCAGGAACATCCATCATGTCCAAGAAGTCATCGTCGTCATTTAAAAGTTCCGAGGCGTCCAGGAATTCGTCGCCTGAGCTGTTCTCTTCCCCGGTCTCCATTAACGTCTTCAGGAAAGTGAAGTCAAATTAAAAAAAATAATTCTTACTCCACAAATTTGGGTGAAGTAAAAGTGTATAGGTATGGAGATATGGATAGAGGGGTGGACAGAGAAACAGACAAATAGGTGGAAATTAATAAGTTACGTCCGTGAATATATTCCACTGGGAAGTTACTGACACACAAGTGGACATTACATGACTTAGATATTAAAAACATGACAAACAGGAAGGAGGTAATTATAGCTAACCTTTCTTTGAGCTTTGGGTGTACGTTCTTTCACTGCCTTCCGTACTGTGAGGTGGTGCTGCTTACTGATTCCCGAGGAAGCTAACGTTGCCTGAAGGATTATTTGTGAATTAAAACAACAAAAATGAATCAAATCAAGCTGTCCTTCTCCAATACATAAAATTAGCTGTGTAATATAATACTTTAAAAAAATATCTAAACTTTATACTGAAGCTGTATACTACACTTTATTTAACATTTTCAAAAATATGAAAACTTTATAACTGTATAATATAATACAGTACTTTAAAAAACATCAAAACATTTACACAACAAACTCCAGCAGCTAATAATACGCAATGAATCACCCAATTAAAACTCCTTAGTAATACAAGTTTATCTCTCACTACAGTTCGATAGTTACCTTAAGCCTTGGAGAGAGTAAATTACACTTAAACTATTTGTATGACTACTAACTCCTTTAATAAGTCAGAAAAATCCCCAAACAGTAACCATAAAAACATTCAAACACCATAATTCTATGTTTGTTTTCTCGTCTGCTTTTATCCGGTAACTTGTAACTTGTTTTGTTATTGTTTAATGTGTCAGTAACACACGACACTGCAAAGTCTCTGAGAATGTTTTTTTTACTATTAAGGTTTGATATTCACAGGTAGAATATACCCCAATACAGTACTGTGTTAAGATGACCAATTGACCTTGAATCAGCAGCTAAGGGTTCTCTAGTGTGCCCCCATAGGCACAGAGATGGAATCCAAGGAACATGAAAAGTCCACTGATGATGGCAGACTTACCTACAGCTGACTTCTAAGGGTTCATTCAAAGACATGAGCTTAATAGACTAATGGTTATATATTTTGAGGTAGCGGGCAGTTACCAAACAGGGAGGAACTACCGCCTGGGAAGAAATTGGAAGCATAATGTGTTGTCTAATGGTAGACCCTGCTGCCATATGGCATTAAAAAAATTGTGACCAGGTCCCAGGTTGCTGATCTGACTTTCTGCCTCATTTACACACAATTGCAGGGACTCAATTGTTTCTCTTACTATTGACAACGCAACATACATACAGTATATAATTTCTCAATATTGATCTTTTTTTCATTTTTGTATTATTATTATTATTATTATTATTACAGTGTTGTTATTATTATTATTATTATTATTATTATTATTATTATTATTATTATTTTATTATTTATTTTTCAATTTTGTATTATTTATTATAAATTTTATTTATTATGAATTATTATTATTACGGGGTGTATTATTATAATTATTATTATTGTTACGTTTTTGCCCCCCAGGCCCGATGTGGGTCAGTGACCTGTGCCTGGGTGGGCTAATCCCCGTAAAGAAAAAATCTCAACTCACATTTTCTTGGTCGGTGTTCGGCGGCCAGCCTGTCCATTGTTGATATCGAACAGCGATGTTTGTCAGGTCATGAATGTCACTTTTAATTTCTTTGATTCTCTTGCTGCCGGGAAACCGAAGGTTGTAGTCTTTGCTGTTTGATTCGTCGTGGATCAGTAATAGATACTCGTCCCCAAGAGCTCCATTAATTCTGGGTAAATATTTAACACTATTCAGAATCTATTTTCCAAACAGCCACTGAGCCATCTCCAACCACCCGGCAGACTCTCATACAAAGGTCTCCTCCATTCATCCGTGTTCTTGTACTACTTCCAACCTCTGACATTGTCCTCTTTCCATCCAGTATATTCTTTCCTTCAGGTACTGTACTGTGTGGTTCACCTCATCACACCTGCTGACACATCCACTCCCAGATATCTAAGACCCTTGATTTCATCTGATAAAATTTCCATTCCACTTAACATTTATTTCTCCTTGTCTCTTTCTCTATTTATTTTCATCATTAATTCTCGTCACACTCACTGTCTTTCTCCAGTACAGTACACAGTTTTCCCACACTCACTAACACTTGTTACTTTTCCTCTAAATTATCAGTAGGTATTATTTGCATTCAACACCTGACACATATCCCACGTCATTATTCACACAAGTTGCACCTCTCTCCATCACTCATTTTCACCCCTCACATCACCCTAGACTAACCTGCTCAGGAAAGTATTCAACACCCATGATAACTATACATATCAACAAAAGTAAAGTTACATCAGTTTTTATTGTAGGCTTGTGGACCAGCTCAACATCTCACCTTTCATAGTAGTTATCAAAAGTGACTGAGGACTGAGCATTGAGTGTGAGTGTCCGGGACTCAGGCAGAAGCGCTGCCGTGATCACTGTGCTGTCTTCTACTGGTGTCTTAAAGCCTTCTAAAATCTGTAATAAATTTGTACCTTTAAGGTAATGACATTTAAGATTCTGGTCTATGAGCCTCATTTCAACTCTAACTGGCTAGAACATAAGAGGTTTTAATGATTTGTACAGGAGGTAACTGACACCAGGTAAAGACTGATGATCTACGTAGAGCATAACAAGGCCAGGAGTCTGGGTGTCACCTGGGCCACTACACACTGTACTGCATATAGAAGCACTAAATTTGTATTTTTGGGAGTTGGTGACAAAATCACACACACACACTGTACAGCACACAGTATGCTTTTGAAATTAATGTTTTTTTCATTTAGTTACTGTACCTTGTGAAGAAGACAACCAAGCAGTTTGTTCCAAAGAGAAACCATTGATTGTTATTTAACCATTATTTAATGACTGCCCAATGAAATAGGGTTAAGTTGCCTACTAAAAAATCACCCTTTCTCTATAATTCTCTTCCCTGATGACAATCAAACTCTGTTTTTATGGAAACTATTTCAAGTAACTCAAGACCCGATTTCGATGTCAAGTAACAAAATTTTTTTTTTGTTATACAGAAAACTCAAATAAGCAAATCCAAGAAGAGAAACACAAGTTTACACAGAGGTGATCTGGGTGAGGGAATCTCTCTAACTAAATCACAATTTTCTTCACGTCATATAACATACTGTACACGATACACAGTCACACACACAAATCAAATGTAAAATAATTCATCCAACACTTATGATGAGAGCTCAGAAAAGACTAATAGGATCGACCACTCACCTGGCTACAGGGGGTAATGCCAACAAGCTGGTGCAGCATTGTGCGCAATTCACTTACAGAAGTTGAGCTCGGCAACTCTAGCGGGAAAGTGCTCCCCTCGGACGCACCCCCACACAAAACCTGCAATGAATATATCAAATTAACATGTAAAGATTAACACCCTGGATTATTTCACCCAGATGATTAAACACCATAACACTACCTTGGGTTTAGGTTAGCATCAGGGTGTTAAATCATCGATTAAATATGCCAAGGGTGCAAATCTTCTTATAGGCTGGGGGTGTGGGTCAGGGGGCTGAGGGTGTAGGTCTGGGGGCTGGAGGGTGTGGGTCTAAGTACACATTGTAAACCTACACTGTCTCTATTACATGTTGAATTAATTGTAAACTTTTAAGAATTTTTTAATGAATACATCACCCTCTACCGATCAACGAGCCTAAGCAATCCCGTGAAAACCTTGTCCAACACATATGGGCAAAAGCACACCACTCACCTGTATATTAACATCCAGAACAGCAGATGTGTTTGAGGAAGATGGCAGTGAGGCAGCAGAGGTGGAAGGGATGGCTGCCGGTAGTGGAGGTATGGGAGGAGGCAAGTGGAGCTCTGGCGATGAGTCAACGCTTATTACTTCTGGCTGAAAACATTTGAAGAAAAATTCACTACAGCGCAAGAAAAAATGGGATCACTTGAAGATTAGCCCCCTGCCAGCTTGGTTTTTTCCCCTTTTATGATTAACCATCTTAATGTGAACCTAACCGAATCTAACCAAGTAGCATCAGAAAAAACAATTACAGTTTAGCCATATTAGAATAAGGGACCTCATGAAGATTAAGAACCCTCGCTTATTTCACATCATGATCAAACACCTTAGTAATAAGTGAGGGGGGGGGGGGTGGTTAGCGTTAGGGGTGTTTCATCGATAGGTGAAATAAGCTGTAGTTTATAACGCTTCATGAGATCTAAATTAAGTAAACTGATATAAAGAATGCACCTCAGGCAACGTTGTCACTTGTTCTTGCCCCGAGCACTTCACAAACAGATCTGTCAGAACACAAACATTTTGAACCCAAAACAAAACCAGATCACCGTTTCAAGTCTGCCAAACCTATTTGTATTCTGTTGTCTAATGGTAGACCCTGCTGCCATATGGCATTGCAAAAATTGTGACCAAGTCCCAGGTTGCTGATCTGACTTTCTGCCTCATTTACACACAATTGCAGGGTCTCAATTGTTTCTCTTGCTATTGACAACACAACATACATATATTGTGTCTCACTAATGATCTTTTTTTTTAAATTTCTTTATGGTATCTTATTATTATTATTATAATTATTATTATTGCAGTGTTTTCATTATTATTATTGTTATCATTATTATTTTACTTTTATTTTTGTATTTTTTATTATAAATTTTACTTATCTGATTTATTATTATAATTATCATTATTATTATGTTTTCGCCCCCCGGGCCCTGATGTGGGTCGGTGACCTGTGTCCGGGTGAGCTAATACCCGTAAAAAAAAAAAAAAAATCATGAGCAAAGAAAAACTTACCTGAGATACAGACTGTAGTGGTGGAGGGGGCAGAGGTGTGGCTGGTGTGCCCTCCTGTGGCATAACAACCTGCAGTGCCTCCAGCAGGTTCCAGTTGGCTGCCTCCAGGTGCATAAAGGCTTCCCCCACATCTTCAATACCAGAACATGCCTGAGGGGAAAAACTCGCAGAATGTAGGGTATTCTTCTTAAACTCGTCTTTCATTACCTGGCCAGACAGTGAAACCTCCATATAACGAACTTACCTCTCCATGTAATCCATTAGATGAGGATTTTCACATTTAACGGACCCTTGATATAATGGACTTTCATCTCTATGTAGTTCACTAGATGGAGGTACTTTATTAATAGGGCAAGGACTTGAGGGTAGACTCACATTTTTAATAAAATTGTTTCTGATTATTTGCGAGAGGATTTTCCAATTACAGTATTATTTATTTGTATGTTTTTTGTGTGTGTATAGTTTGAAGGTGTTTTGTAGGTGTCTATACACACACACACACACACACACACACACATATACACTACAACAGGTAAAAGAAATAATTGTCCTAGGGGCAAACACAAAAGGAATATTCATTTCTTTGTACACAAGTAAAAATGTACCCACCCACCCCCAGTCCGCAATCGTAATTCGCGGCCATTTTGAGAACCTAACCCCCCCTCCCGAATTGGGGGAGGGGGGGGGGGCGTACAAATTCTAGAGAAGAAAACTTGTTTATCTCACAAATATAAAAAAGTCTGGAGGAATTATAACTATTATACATTTTTTCTTCTTCAATTTTTTCAAGGTGGACAAGCTCACTTCGACTCACCACCTTAGTACGGCCGCTACTGTCAGCCCACCAGACACAGACGATTTATTGTAAATAAGATAAACCAACCAACCAAACTTAACCTAATCTCCTAACATACTTATCCTAGTCTGGATGTACAGTACGTTATCTTAGGTTAGGTTAGACTGGGTTGGTTGAGGTCAAGATGGGATGGGATGGGTTGGGTTAGGTTAAGTTAGGTCAGAATGGGTTGGGTTAGGTTAAGCTAGGTAGGACTGGGTTAGGTTAGGTTATATATGTTGGTTAGGTTAGACTGGGTTGGGTTAGGTTATATATGTTGGTTAGGTTAGACTGGGTTGGGTTAGGTTATATATGTTGGTTAGGTTAGACTAGGTTGGGTTAGGTTAGATACGTTGGCTGGGGTATCATTTTGTTATCATCTCATATGGAAAGTTCACTGGGAAGTGTTGAGCCACTTAGCGGTGTGAGTTGCTCGCTGGCAAGTATTCCATCAATTAAACCATAAAATATATGGCATCCAAGTGTACACCCACTAAAAAATTATTCGGCACCTGTGTCATATTGTATCACGCCTTAAGGGTGCCGAATAATTTTTTAGTGGGTGTACATCTTGAGAGATAAGAAACAAGTTATCTTCTCTAGAATTTGTACCTTAAAGTTGGTCACTAACGAGCGGTCGCAAACACTGATTGCATCAACTTTAAGAGCTTATGGCCCCAAAGTGACTCTTCCTCTCCATCACAAATCAAAACTTCCTCAGCCATTTTTTGTTACCCAATCATAAATAAAACTAACAAGAACTTAACACCCATAAACTCACCACTTTACCCTCCACTCTTAGAGACAGACTTCTCACTACAACACACAAGAAAATTAATAAGTTATCAATCAATCAAAATACTGTCGTCATATCTGAGGGTTGGCGACCACAGTCCTCCACAGTAATTGTTCTCGGGCCGTTTTTACCAATTTTCTAAGAATTTGTATCTCTCCAAGTCCCGTTTTTTTTTTTTATTTATTTCATTCCTCCATCTGAATCTCTGCCTTCCCCCACCCCCTCCTACCCTTAATTTTGTCCATTAATATATTTATTATTTCCCCTCATATAACCAAGTACCTTATTTTTCTTTTTCTGCACATATCAAGTACTGTATGTCTCTAGAAGTTTTTGATAATCTTAGTAGAGATTAAATTAAAACTTCCCTGAAAAAGGCCATAAAATTGCACAAATAAAATATTGAAGTCCAAATTTAAAATAAATTTTTTTTAAGATAATATCACAGACCCTAATGAGGAGAATAACATTTAATTTGTCAAGTGTAATTAAATCGCTCAAATAACGTAATAAAATAGTATAGTGTAATCCTCCATTTGATATTAATAAATTTCACAAATGGAATATAAATTATACTGAAAATTCCAGCAATAGGATTAATATGAAGAGTAAATTTAGGGAACTTTAGGAAAATAATAAATTCATCAAAGTTATCTATATGGAGTGTTGAGGAGACACAGTTATTCTCCTGCAACACGGCGGCCAACACACTACAACCTGCTATACTTACTTCCCTCATTTTACAAATAACTACCATCCACATCAGCTTGTCATACCCTACAGTTTTAACAATAAATAAATATATATCGTAACTGTTGAGAAATTCCATCGGGTATAGAACAAACCTTTCCCTCACGTCCTCAAGAAATAATAGAACCACTTGATCACATATTAGTTAAGAAGACCACACCCTTACCTGTGATTGTATACGGTTGGAATAGTGACAATAAGATGGTAAACGAGTGATCTTACCTGAAAATTGGCTAAGATTTCATCCCTACCAGCCATTGTTTGTCTCTTTAGTTCCTATGTCTCACGCCAGCTGTCTCCTTTGTCGGGTCAAATGTCGTTTTCTATGAGTATTTCCACCTAATTCGTTATAAGGCCAAATTTATCGCAATAGTCGCTGATATATCATAATTCTATAAAGGAAGTAAGTGGTTTATATGGTGTGGGTAAGTTATAAGGCGTTATGTTAGGTCATTAGTGGGACCCAAGTTAGAGGCAGGGACTCGGACACAGGGTCATGACGTCACTGTACCAGCTGATCAGTGACTAGAAGAAAATACTTGGAGAAGAAAGACTTATTATTACCAAACATTATTATAGTTGTTATATTACCACTATTAAGATATTGAAAAAAATAGCAACGATGATTGTACTACAGTAATACGGGTACAATTATCATAATAATAATTGACACTTGAAGACTCAAAACATGACCAGTTTAACTTAAAATATTACATCAACTGCGGCCAGGTAATGTTAATACTAGTAGGGGAACATTTAATAATGACTTGGCTTGATGAATATAATGGTTATTAGAAGCATTACTATAATAAAACCACTATAGATGATGTGTATAATACATGTACAGTACATGTCGCTGAATGACACACGTATGGCACACATAATACAATACAATGTTTCTATATATTTTACCTACTTTTGGCAAAGAAAATATTTTCGCCTGCCTTAGTTGTAGCAATTACAGTAAGTTTAAACCAATTATTGATAATCTCAATATCGCCCTTTTAGTGAATACAGGGTATATATATTTTTTTAAGTAATTATACCAGTGTTAAAATCTCATTTCCAATTATTATTAATCCTACAGTACATGGTGTATTTTTCTGAATTATATACAAAATTGTCTGGGATTCTGTATGACGTTGAAATTTAATGTTACTTTACATATTTATGAACGGCATATTGCTCCATTAACACATCCACTGTCAGTTCCTCACACTTGATTTCATTTCAAAACACAACACTTTCCAGTTCCTTATAATCCAACATATTTCTGACTTTTTTTAATATATTTTTATTCATCTTTATTACTGTATCATTCCTTGGGAGTAACTGTAACAAGGCTTCACCAAAAGATGAGACATGTGTACTAAAAATATTGATATGTGTAAGTATTTATGTGTGTACAGGTGTATGTAGAAGCATTCACATGTATGAGGATATAAAACCAAGACAAAGAAACAAACATTTATTACACGTAAGCACCGAGTTACTCATTTGTACACAGTAAATGCCAAGTTTAATCAATCCACAAGATAAACATTAATTTAACAAATACAGTAGAGGGGCCATCTTAATAAAACTGTTAGACTCTTTCACTCACTCAGACAACAAGTATGATATGTAAGGGATGTGCCACAATAACACCATCCAGTAATTTATATAATTTATAAGATCAATTTAACCAGGAGACCCTTGACTCATTAACAACATTTGAGGGGTAGATGGTTAGGTAATTATAATGTTTACTTGAGTACTTATAAAAATATGAAAATGTGAAAATATTATGTATCTATCACACTTGGTATGTGTTTAATATTAAGATATACTGTATTGTAAGTTTAAACAATCTTACATCCTTGTTTTGGGATCTAAGATGGTACCCAACATACGAACCAACACAGCATAATCACAGCTCTGTAGTGATATTTACTATACAGTCACTCAAAAACTATCTTCACAAAATTGTCTTGAGAAAATGTGACGCGACGGACGAAGGATTTTGACAACCTTAACTAGACAACAAGAGTCGTAAAGTTCATTCTGAAATTCATAGACCCCCTCCAAGTAAGAATAGTTTAAGTGACTGTACATGTTAATGAACTGGGTCATAAACAAGTAAACCCACTGTACATTATCCACTGAGTGAGTACTGTACTGTACATGACAAGAGTACTACATAAATTAAGATGAAATTATATGACTGTACTTACTTGAACAACTGTCAAGTAAAACAAAAGATATATATATATATATATATATATATATATATATATATATATATATATATATATATATATATATATATATATATATATATATATATATATATATATATATATATATATATATATATATAAGTACATCATGTGGAAATTTTGTTGAATAATAATAAAATAATTAATATTATTTCCCCAAAACACTTCACTGTATAAAGTTTCAGAAATAAACATATGGTTTGAAGGTTGCAGTTCTGGTACAGTATTCAACACAGAAGGAACCAATTTTGGGGGTTTTAAGTCTAGTTCATAAACTATAAGAACCAACTATCTCTCACTGATATTATAAGCATGATACAGTAGACGACAGACCACAACCTGTCTTCCTCATATTACAGTGAAGAACCTATTTTACCCTCATATGACAGTGAAGCAACTATTTTACCCTCATATGACAGTGAGAGGAGACGAGAGTCTGTTAAGGCCTGTCCACACGATCGAGCAGTGGCCTTCAGGCAAGCGCTAAATGCCCGTTATCGGGCAAAATTGGCGGGCAAACCAGCGGAGTGCCCGTTCCCGTCGTTGAGCGAAATCATGGTCCGCCTGCCTGGTGGTTTGCTGCCGGATATGGAGCGACGACTCAGTCAGACAAACGAAGTTGACCCTGGGACCCTGGCTGTCAGTCTCGCCACAACAGTCACCACTGTACCATGTCTAGCCCTCCGAACACCAAAGAACAAAGAAACATTCATTGGTCTAGAGAAGAGACCATGCTGTTAATTGAACTCTATCGCCAGCACCCTTGCCTGTGGAATGTCAAAGTGGACTTGTGCCGGGATAGGGACAAACATACAGCGGCACTCAATGCGATTACAGAGGATATGAAGAGAAGTGGGACTTCAGTTACCACAAGTGAAGTGAAGAGAAAAATTGAATCAATTCGAAATCAGCATAGACGGGAACTAAGAAAGATGCAGAAATAAAAAAAAGTCTGGAGCTGGGAGTGAGGACATTTACGTTCCCACATTATGGTGCTTTGATGCACTGCATTTCCTCATTGATGGTGACACAATTCGACAATCTGTGTCAAACATGGATACCCACACTACTGAAGATATGTCCGAGGTATATTCTGATCATGAGGTATGCTCTCTCTCTCTCTCTCTCTCTCTCATGTCCATCTTCCAGTTCACGTAAAATTGCTGCATGACTTCCCAATACTTTTCTTCGACCTAACCACTCTTTGCACCATTCCCTTTTCTGCATTTGGTTCTTCTTTTTGCACATAGCAGCAATTATTATAGTACACAACGCTAAACTGTCCGGCGATTATTCCTGCGACACACCATGGTGATCGTACCGCACCCGCCACTGCCGACCACCTACTAGCTACCGGCGCCCGACTATGACTGCCGCCAACCACCCCCGTGTGTACAACAACACACAGGCTTTGCCCGGTAAACGGGCAAAGCCCGCCGGGCACTGTTCGATCGTGTGGAAGGGCTTTAGATGTGAAACCTCCATCTAATGGGTTACATGGAGAAAGAAATCTAATATATAGAGGCTTCACTGTAGTACACATCTTAGGCTACAAGTACATACATCATCTTAAATATCAACTTAATGTTAATACAATATAAGAATGGTTGCTTGGAAAGACTTTTTGTTGCTGCTAACTTAAAGTATTCGAGCATAATAATCAAGAAGACTCAGTATGTTGTTACTTCATTTGTTAAGTTCAATACTGCCTGTTGTGTCACGTCAAAGGGAGTGAAGTACAGTACAGAAAAGGGTGTCAGTTTTAAGTAACAAAGAGGTAGTTATTACAAAGTCCCTTCACTACAAGAGAGACAACAAGCCAAGTTAATCATCACTACTAACACGAGGATGAAGCGAGTTAAATCTTCACCACACAAAACAACTCCTACCAAATAACTGCAGGAGATACAGTACAATAGAGATATTCATATGGAAGAACTAATAAGCAATGAAAGGATACTGTACGGTATTGGATATATACCCTGTAATACATTTTGATGCTTTTCTCAGTAATACGACTCACCAACGTACCAGATACCGAAACTCAACACCATTTTCTTATTTTCCATGGGTCACAAAAGTACAGGAGCTATTTCAATGATTTCATAATACAGTATTCTGTATTTACTTCACATCCAGCTGATCCTGACAACAAGATAATACTGTAAGGAGTTAATAAGGTGCAGAGATGAGGTTCTATCCATTGTGTACACCCTAGAGAGCCCTGCATGTCTAAATATGCTGTTATTTCATTGTTTATTCATATAAAACAAAGTAGATTCATTTAAGGTATGTGAAATATTAAATAAATATAATACAGTACACAGAATGCACATCCTGTAAATGTTCAGTAGTAAAGACCTAAAAGAGCCATCATTTATGACTAAGAAGTACAGAAAGATGCTGTGGTTCCAGTCTACAAGAAATCTAACCATACGTGGGTAATTTAACAGTCAGAGGATTAAACTAGTAGAACCATTTATTGTGCATTACGTTCACTACTATAAGTATATCATATTGGTAACATTTTGCCATCAAGCATAACAGAGTTTTAAAGGAAAATCTTCCCAAACAATATTGGTTGAGTAAGGCTGGGCTGGGTTAGGCTAGGTTGGACTAGACTGGGCTGCACTGGGTTAGGCTGGGCTGAGTTGGGCTAGGCTGGGTATATGTGTGTATGCTATTAAAAGGTCTACTACAAACCTTATTTAGAAGTGACACGGCAAGTTACATAATTTGAGTTAATATTCAAAAGTTATGTATGGATTAACACAATTTTTTCCTCTTCTTTTGAAAACCAAGATCAAAGTTACATACAAGAAATACTAATGTAAAACTTTATAAATTAGAATAAAAAAAAGTAACTAATAGTACTGACTGAAGACTTATGGGAGAAGCAACTGTAAATATCGACTAAGTTCATGATTGACGTTAGAGTAAGACACACCTCATTAACATTACACAATTATAAGAAGTTGCATAGAATTCTTTCAAAGGTAAATAAAAAAAAAGGTGGGGTGGTGGATCATGAGGCTGGACGTATGTTGATGAGATAATAAAGATGAATAAGAAATGTAATGATACTTTCTTATGTCGTACAGAACCAGAGGGTGAGTACAGTATACAGGGTAGGTGCTTCTCTACTTACCAACATTAGAATTATCCAGGGAACTTTCACATACTGTATATGAAAAACTTGTCCATATGACCAATTGACTGTATTTATACATTAAAATGCTGTTAAATTATACTGTAGAATAATGTGATGTATTCATTATTGCAGTACTGTATGGCTTTACTGGACATACTTTATTTTTACATTTTATTTAGTTTTTTACAATACTGTAATGTTTGTTGGACTTAAGAATGAATGAACTTAAGAATAAGCTTCAGGTATGTGAATCATTTGTAAGAAGAGGAACATCTGTAATTATCGAATTTAGCAACACACACACACACACAATAAATGCAGTAATATCTTACCAATATGAGAAATATAAAATGCAGTCACTTTGGCTTTCAATCTGGTTAATGACTGATCCAACTATCACAGGTTCAGTATAGGCTTGAGTCAATACAACATGAAACAATGCTCGACTCTGGAAGAAGTGAAAAGTACATAAACAGAAGACTAAAATCTCCCTTTACACACAGCATCCTCTTACACACAGCATCCTCTTACACACAGCATCCTCTTACACACAGCATCCTCTTACACACAGCATCCTCTTACACATGGCATCCTTTCAGTGATAATTTGGAAGAGCTTTACCTTGTAGTGGAATATTAACAATAATTTCATCTTCCTCAGCTGACTGTGATGACTCTATGATGCTCCTGAACCTGACCTCAAACTTGGACTGGGTCGTCACGCACACACCGCTGTTAAGGCACACGAACATCACACACAACAGCTTCAGTTTGGTATCTGAGGCTGCGTCAGAGATCGGCTGAAGAGTAATAGGCACGTCTGTTTCCTCCTGAAGTTTACCCTCAGATGATGTCACTGTAACTTGTGAACCTGTTGAATATCCATATCGACATTGAATGAATAATACAGGTCTTATAGATAATGCATCTGCTTATGTGTGTGTATGTATGTGCTTGTGTATGTGTGTTGGGACAGAGTATGAGGAGCACTGATGAGAACCAACCAGACAACAACCTGTGGAAGAGCTGGACTGGTTGCATCTTAATACTTGTACTGTTATATGCTGTTGCTATCTTTCCATCTACAGTACAGTACTCAGAGCTTTAAATAATAAACATTCAGATAGAAGAAATGAAAAAAATCTCAAGCTGTTTTTTCGTTTTTTGGGAACAAGAGATGTTAGTGTAGACACATGCTTAAAGTTATTAGTCAATATTCACCACTCGGTCCCTACAACACTCACCACTTGTGTCTAAAGTCCACTTGTTAGGAGCATCATTATTAAGACTTGCTTCTTCTGGGAGACTGGCCTTAATTCTCAGGATGACTTGGACTTCCCTCCCACTTGGAACTTCAACCACCACTTCCTCCACCTCTGCGTCCGAGTTTAATAAATCTTGGCTCGAACTGTCACTTTCGTCGACTAATCTTATGGGTAACTGGGGGGAGGGGGGGGGGGTATTATTACTATCAGTGAAGATCTTTTTTTGTTCTTCGCAATATCTGATCCATCTCATCTATTACGTTTAGTGGTTGATCGAGAGACAAAAATGTCCTCACTTTCATCCCTGTTGCCTTCTTAATAGACGTTTCCTTTTGTAACGTGTGTTTATTTAACAGCGATGACATTTAGCATGCTATTTACAAAGAAGGTTCAATATACTGTATACAGTATAGTAATGTAATACTTCAAACTTAGGAAAAGTGACACACAGTCTCTCTCTTAACACACACACACACAGTCTTACCTGTCTTATAGAGTGATCAGTGAGGGACAAGACCTTGATGGAGTGGTTGTTGGTGTCAGCGATGTACAGACAGGAGCCGTCCACACTTGCACAAAGGCCTCCAGGTTCATTCAACTGAGAATTTTTAGTTTTTATCAGAGAAAATTAAACCAAGTGAAAATAAAATACACGTATTACAAGTATTTCAAGGTTCTGTATCAGGATTATTGGTGATGTAATTGTAGTGTTCAGCCTTTTCATCACACTTAGTGATTTTCTTCATTAAAACTTTACTCACACCTCCTACGTACCTTTGAGTCAGAGGCCTCATCTTTGTTTTTCTCTGTGTATTGACCGCCAGCCACTGTCGTTAGGATGTAGGTCTTCCCTGATGGACGGACGACCTTTATCTGTCAGCAGAAAAAAAATGGTTGGTCTATATACATATTGGATCAATGTAAACTTGTACAATAATTTTACTGATTACTATGTCTTTCTCTCTAGCCATCTACCTATCCATTTATTTATTGTATCTATCCATCTATCAACTCATCTACTGCATCCACTCATCTATCTATCTATCTACCCGCTGTATCTATGTATCCATTTATCTAGCTGACCCACAGTTACCAAACTCCAAAATTTTAGGTCAATGGACGACCTCAGTTAAAAAATAAAATAATTCCTTGCTTGTATGGAGATTTAAATTGAGAGAGAAAAGAGAAAGAGAAAAAGAGAAGTAAGAAGAGAAAATGAAGAAAGAGAGAAAGAAAAGAGATAAGATAAAAGAGAGAGAGAGAGAGAGATGAACTTGCTTGAAGGTTTCTCAACCCCAGAATAACAACACATCAACAACTTGCCTTATGGTTGTAAGAGTCGGCGACGTACACACGGTCTCCAACAGCAGCCACAGCCAGGGGGTGCTGCAACTTAGCCTCAACACCACTACCATCAACATCACCATAGGCAAACAAATCCTGTGGTCAAGTACACCCATAAATTCATGATGCAAATTGATGTTTTGGCTCACTTATTTTACAGTGGGTAATAAAAGGAGTGAATATTGCTGTAAAATGCTGCTGCTGACCATGCTGTAAAACACTCATGACTGTATCCACTTTACAAAATAGAACATACAGTACAGCGTAATAGTATCAAGTGCTGTAAAATATGTAACCCTACTTTATGACTCGAGGGGAAGAAATGATTTAAGGTTTAAGATAGAAACTGCTAAGATACCCCCCTCGAGCAGTTACCCTCCAAGAAATGCCCAGAAGTCTACATGGAGGATTAAGGTAAACCCAAACTGCAGCGTTTAAAGTCATATACTTTACGAGGCTAAACAATCTTAAAGTTCTATAAGAGATCCTGACACCATGGAAGGTCAGAGCATGAAGAAGTAGTGTAATACTGAAACTCCACAACCTATGATATTTTTATCTCCCTGGGCTCAACTACCATATGTATATAATACATGGATGGGCAGATGGGTCGATTGATGGGTGAGTGAATGGGTGAGTGAGTGAGTGAGTGGATGAGTGAGTAGGTTGATGGAGGGATTGAAGATATAATTTCTATACTCCAAGAGAGGTGATAGGGAACAATTATGAGTAAGGTTTAGTGGTGCTGTTAGTGTGTCTCACCAACCTGGCCGAGAGAGGGTCTGCCTGAGGGTGTTTAATAATGGTTGGTACTCACAAGAGGGTCCCGAGCTCCCCCAACCACAGCCTTGACAGCTCCATCCGTTAAATTCATTTTCCTGACAGAAGAACTTTCAGAGTCAGCGATGTAGAGCACAGCTGCTCCAGAATGAGTGCCGAGCGTTAGTCCCGAGGGCTGAGCAAACCCGGCCCGTGTGGGGTACGATGTGTTGCGATTTTCTTCGGCCCCACTGCCTGCCAAGCGTACTACAGTTCCTTTACTGTAGGAGCTGAAAAATAGGAAAATCCACAATATTGTCAGGAGTAAAGAACATTTTCATATATAATTTTTGCATCAACATGTGACAGCATTTAACAACTGTATATCGTCATACCCATTCCCTAAATTAATGAACAATATGGAAAGGAAAATCCATTATTTCGAGAGTCCGTTAGGTGTGAAACCCTCCCATCTCACGGATAACATGGAGAAATAAGTCCATTATAAGGGGGTTTCAATGCATTGTTCAAATATCATCTTTGTTATTACTGTACTAACACCACTGAGAGCTGATAGTAAAGGTTAGTTTCTTACCTTCCTTTCAGCCATTTGCCATTTGAGAGGAAAACACCCCAGATTTGGTGAGTTCCCGCCATGGCCACCAGGAGTAAATTTTCCGGTCCATCCTCAGCCTGATCCAAACTTCTTCCAAGACATAAGTCCCAGGGGGAGGAGATGGCCTAATGATGAAACATAACGGAACATATATCGTAGCTAATTATAATGTTATATGCCTTCGCACACCATCGTAAATAAACACAATCAAATAAATCCATATGACTGAAGATTGAGACTTGATATTTTACCTCAGTGGATGGTCAAAATACAAGAGTTCTCCAGGTTTTGAGAGCTACTCATGCCTTCCCAGCCTGATCCACATCTCACAAACCCTCATACTACCTCTCCACCTTTTGGTTATCGGAGACATTCGCTGTCCCATCACCTCAGCTCCTCCATACACACTACAGCCTAAGAGCCATCCTCCTCTCCACCCATCCAAACAACTTTTTTTACTTGTGGCCCACGAGTGAGTGACCCAGAAGACCCCGAGCACACCAATGACAAAACCTATCAATGTTATGGTGGGCAACAGTTCAGTAGCAGGTGGCATCATTTACGTCAATGACAGTCACCATAAGTGACACCTAAATCAGTCACACCAAGAGACTTACAGTAAAGGTAAGGTTACTTTAGGTTAGGTTAGGTTAGTATGGTGATCAATTATGCAATAAACCCTCGATTTTTCAGTTTCTAAGTTTGCAATATTGATAAATCATAAGAAAACCAACATAATGTATAATATGGACACGAAGTAGTACCTTAAGCTGTGTATTCTTATATTACTCTATTAATTATGTATAGTAAAGTATTACAGAACATGTATTAATCCTATGTAATATTTCCATTTATTATGCACCATGTTATGTATGTGAATTATCATATTTACATATTATGTATTCAGCTTGTGAATGCTGGCATCTGTACATGCCAGCGCGGAGTGATACAGAGAGTGGAGATCGCTAGTCCTTATGGTGTGGAAGCCCTCTGTCTATTGTTCCCTCTGTACATCTCCCATACGAGAATAAGAACCTATTTTCAAGATAACAAGTGTTTGCGTATACCCTCCGTAGTGTAGAACATTTTGGGGGTATCAAAGACAAACATAGACATAACTTGAAAGACAAATATGAATTCACACACAAGAAGCAACAACTGTCACCGAAGATGTTTCTTCAGATGGTCCTAAAATTATGTACATAAGCATTCGTCAACTGTGCTAAGAGGTGTTTAAGCCGTGTAATCCCCTTAAAAAAATCATAAATGTGGATATTCAAAGACACTTAAGACTACACCAAAGACCCCCAATAATACGATGGCTGGATAGATGAGCGTACGAACACATTAGGTGACATTCAGTATACCTCCTGCCATGGTTTTAATAGAATATACTGTTCTATAATGACTTTCCTTACCATCAAAGTCCCAACTTGGCCCCCTTCTAAGTCTGTTCCTTGCTTCCCCGTACCAGCGATGGTTTTCACAGTCTCTGTTATAATGTCCACCTGTTGTAAAAAGATAATAAAGTCATTAGATTTGGAGTATCTGAAGATTAACTCCCCAACTTATTTCACCTTTACTGTTTTTCATTATTTTATTTTTATTCTTATTTACCATCAACTTCCTTCCTTGTTAACATTCTTTCAAACTCATTCCTTAACATTTGTGACTTTTCTTCTGAGATCATCCACTACAACAATGTTATCTGTAGCCATCACCTCACCACCACCATCACCTCACCTTCACCACCAATGTTTTAGAGCCATTTTCCACACTCGTCTAGGTTAGCTGTGATTACCTGATGACACAGTGTCCCAGCTATCAGCAGCCAAATCTCAAGTTTTGCAGCTGGACACACTTCCTATCACCAACCCACTTTTACAGAGTTATTAAACATTACCGACCTACCTATGTTTACTGTATGGTACAGTATATATGAATACTAATAGCAATTGCTTTGAGAACCTGTACTGTACACAGGTAAATCAATAAAAAAAAATTTCACCTGTGCATACCAGGACTGCCTGATTGCCAACCATGGTAGTCCGGGTTCAAATCCTCACAAGAATAGGTGAAAAAAAAAAAATTAATGTAATTAATTGTTACAATGACGCAATCCTACCTGGCGGATGGCATGATTGTCAGTGTCAGCTATGTACAGTGTGTCTGGGTGATGATAAACTACTCCTTGAGGGTTGTTGAAACTGGCAACAGCAAATGATCCATCAGTGAAGCCTTGTTCTCCTGAACCTATCACTTTCTGTGGATACAGAGATAGACACATAGATATAATTCCGTATAATTATTATACAAGTTTTACATTGGTTCAGTGTGTATTTAGACAGTGCAGGCAAACAGTTCAGCATGAATATAGAATTAATACTCATAATAATAACAAAACAGTAACATCAATCCAGACTTTTAGTAACCGCTTCATAATGCATAAGGCAGCTACCATACAGGGAGGTACTACCACTTGGGAAGATATTGGAAGCATAATGTGTTGTCTAATGGTAGACCCTGCTGCCATATGACATCACGAATATTGTGACCAAGTCCCAGGTTGCTGATCTGAATTTCTGCCTCATTTACACACAATTGCGGGGTCTCAATTGTTTCTCTTATTTTGACAACAGAATATCGTTTCTAACTATTGATCTTTTTTCTTCATTTTTTTTAATTATTTATGGTTATTATTATTATTTTGCTTAGCCTTTTATTATAATTTTATTTATTTTTATTATTAACATTAACATTATTATTATTATATTTTCGCCCCCGGGCCCTGATGTGGGTCAGTGAACTGTGCCCGGGTGGGCTAATCCCAAAAAAAAATTTAATAAAAAATCCTTTAGGCTGTCAAGATACTGTCCACTTAACCTTAACATAACATAACATCCCTATAACCTAACCTAACCTTACCGTAACACTCCCCTCGAAATCGGTCAGCAAGATTTTGTTGTGACCGGAATCTGACACAATAAGACCTCCTGGGTGAACTGCAACTTTCCCAGGATACAGTAAAAGAGAGCCAGTTGCTTGATAATGCTTCAACGGGGCCAGGGGAACTGCAGTCTTGCTCAGACGCCTGTAATGTAACAAACTCTCACAGTAAGACTAAAATACCAACACTTAAGTAAAAATGAACCAAATATTAAAACGTTCTGTCTATTTACGGCAAAACTATTCCTGCTTCTTACAATAAACTTATCTGAAATGAAAATAAACATTATGCATATTAACGAGCCTGTGTATTAAGTTAAACATCAGAACAAGTTAGTGTTTTGTGTCAAGCTCAAAAAACATTTAAAATTGTTACCGGGATTCTGACCCAAAGATGTGATGCTAGCCGAGAGCTCTCATCCCTACTCATCACTGATGCCAATAGTGGGGGATTAGGTTAGGTTAGGTGAGTGCTAAGTTAGTGTTAGGTTAGCGAAAGGGTGATTAATCTTATCAAATAAGCTTAAGGGGGCTACTCTCCTGGTGATCTTAGCATGTGAAATACTTGCATCATCAAAGAATGCCAATATGACCTTTGACAACAACACAGGACAGGACAGGACAGGACACTGTTTACCTACCCAGAACTAGAAAAGTATCTTACTGCCGTGTCAACATAAAGCTGGAGGCGGTCGCTGTGTCCCTCCCCGACTAACACAAATAGTGGAGAGGCGTCAGGACCTGCAAATGGGATAAGACACCTGAATTTACTTATGGCAATGCATGAGGCGCTCCGGGCGAGAACAAGACAAAGGGAAAAAGTGACTTGAGTTGTGTTTATTTATTATTATTCTTTCAAAATTGATAGTTTAATTGTATTTTCTGAACTTTTCTTTAAACTCTGCTGCTTGTCTATTTCTCGCCCAAAGTTCCTTATATTCTATATAAACGAAAATAAATTAAGTGTCAAATTTTATCAATAGCATATCTTCTTCCGGGTTGACTTCATTACATATTACATTTTTACACCAGGATATGTTCTCCTTGTAAAGATTGAATACATAACAATACTGGGGGTGTCTAATGTTCAGGTGATTCCTCCTTTTTTATAGATTAGAAGCATGTGGCTAAATATATGTGACTTAGATATAGGGCAGTGGCACTCATGCATTTCCAAAGGTAGATTCATACCTTACTAAAACACATATCTGGAACATTGTTGTTATTGTTCTGTTTATATCTGTATTATTCTGGCTAAATAAACTGTTTCAATATCAATTCTCCACATTCTTACCAAGTATAAGGAGAGTGGGCCAACATGCAATGCCCAACTCTGTCCACATCTTTGCTTGGGAATCATTGACAACTGGATGATGGATGTTGTATTTCTGTATGGCAGCCAAAATGTTCGCAGACACACGTTCATTATCAAACTTGGCTGAATGGACGCCTACCTGTAGAATAATCTACTGTTAAAGTACTGTAAATACTAAATTACTAATATAAAAATATATACCCAGTACACTCTATTATATTATAAAACTAAGGTGAAAGCTCAAAAAAATACCCAATAATTTAAAATATATAAAATAATCATAAAAATAAAGAAATCCAGAAACTATTGATACTATAATTTTTTCGAAAAATGGAAAAATATTATGCCAACAGTCTAGTTGGGTTATCTTATAAGGTGGATTAATCTTATTCAAGACAAACTTATGCTTCACAGGCTCTATAAAAATATGTAAAGTACTGTTTATAAAAGAGAAAATCACCACAGCTAATTGTATGCACTCATTACCGTGTCTCTTCCTCGAGGTTAGGTTAAGTTAGGTTTCAGTGCTACTATAGCAAGTGGTCTGCAAGATATTTAGGTTAGGTTAGGTTCCTCAAGAATCCTTCAATTCTCTGCCATTACGAGATACATGACGAGTCTTTTCTTATATGTTTAGCCTCGACTTATGCTTAGTGACCTTATTATCGCGTGATCAATCTTCTCCTCACCACCAGAACTTCTTCATTTGTGGCTGGGTGCTGTTCCTCCAGGGCCTTCAGGTCTGGCAGTATGTGTATACAGTTGATGCAACAATACGTGAAGAAGTCCAGTACACTCACTCGTCCCTTCAGGTCCCCGGCCAGAGTCAGAGGTCGAAAAACATTGAACCATTCTAACCCTGCAAGATTTAACAAGAACCCCTTTATTAATAAACAAGTACAAGTTTCAACTAAAAATTACCTTTTGACTAATTATTCTTGATATTTTTACATAATCATCAAGACAATTTACTGATACACAAGTTTCTCCAATGAATTTGATTATTTTAAAAAGGTCTCACGTATAGCATATTTATACAATGCCAAGTAATTAATCTAAACATTTATACAGCAATAAGTATATACGTCAAATTAAAAGATACATATTAATTTAGGTGTTAAAAGCATTCAAATTAAACCTGCATCATAAACACAAGGTAACATTCACGTCCACCTACCAGCTTCAAAATCCACCATAGGTATCTTCTCTAGTGTGTACGTCTCTATATGTTCATTAATGATTGATATTTTCTCTTCTCTAGTTGTCGCTTCTTCAATTCTCGCAGCTAAATCGAGACAAATAAGTGTTAATTCACCAATACTCTGAGCTGGTCCCTCCATTGTTGTGTTTACTAATCCGGATTCATCTTACTAATCCGGATTCATCTTACTAATCCGGATTCATCAACAAACTCTTACTAATCCGGATTTATCATTTTAGTCTATACGAACGATATGAAAACTTTCTAGTGATTAAATAATTTCACCAATTAGGTTTTCTTTAGTACTGTTGTGTTGAAATAATTAATAGTGAATGAATTAATAATAATAATAATATTCATTCATGTTTTAGCCTCGTTTCTGAGCTAAGGATTTATTAAGATATTTACATACATAAACATTGTCATAATTAGAGAAAATTAAAGAAATAACGAGATTTTTTGTAAATCTTTATTGACATTGACGGTGATAATGTTCAGTCTGGTGACACAACACAGTAAAAACAACATGAATGTATGTTATGTAGACAATGTTGCTGAGACGTAAGAACTGTGGACGACACGGTCTTATTATTCCTCGCAACAGTCAGGAGTGTCAGGTTGTTGGTGGCCTCCTCTGAGTGCTGCCTGGTGGAGCTGGTTGAGGCGGTGTAGGTAGTGTTGGTGTTGCTGACTCTCTCCCTCCAGGGTGACGCTATTTTTGCGGCGGTACACCAGCTTTTTCGCTACGGATTTAAAGCCTCGTTTCCTCGCCCAGTCAGCTGGTGTTCTGCCAGCGTTGTCCTCCGCCCGAGGGTTGGCACCACGTCGTAACAGCAAGTTACACGTGAGTTCTTTACCCTTGGAGGCGGCTCTGTGTAGCGACGTCATGCCCGACTGTGAGGCAGCGTCCAACAGCGCCCCATGCCCCAGCAGGATCTTCACCACACGATTATGACCTGCCTGGGTGGCGGCGTGGAGGGGCGTGTTGCCTACCACATCCTTTTTGTTAATGTCAGAGCCAGCAGCCAGCAGCAGCCTCACTATGAGGTCGTGGCCGTGATGAGCAGCGCGGTGCAGGACGGTAGCGCGTGCCGGCCAGTGGAGCGCCAGGGGCACCATTGTGTTAGGTGGGGCGCCCTCCGCCAGGCACGTCTCCACTGTGGCTGGACACCCGTCTTCGATGGCTTTTATCAACCTCACTGGCAGTGGGATCTGTGTGGAGGGAGACTCAACCTTCGACCCCGGCGCCGAGTCTCTACGCATCTCCCGGGGACACGCTGTCAGCCCCATGTATCCGAGTTGGTTCATCACCTCGTAAGCTGTTTCACCAACTTTGTTTGGAAGAAACACGTCGGCGTTGAGACGGAGAAGGGTGCGGGCTACCTCAAGGTGGCCATGTGCCAAAGCCATCTGTAGCGGCGTCACACCAGAGCGGTTGATTGCGTCCACAAAGGCGCCGCTGTTTACCAGCTGTATGGCCACCTCGCTGTAACCGCTGCGCGCCGCCACGTGCAGTGCGCTGTTACCTAGGTCAGAGCGAGCGTCTGCGTCTGCACCCGCGGCCAACAGAGCCTGCAACACGTACAAGGTTCCATCCTTGGCAGCTCTCAGTAGTGCTGGTGAGGGACCACAGCTTACGTTAGGGTCAGCACCAAGCTTCAGCAGTGACCTGGTCTCCTCAGCGTTACGGTGACACACAGCCTTACGTAGAGAGCTGTTTAATTCTTCCTGCAATAAGGTGCTGTTTGTTGTATTCTCCTCCACCTGCGTCTCTTCCCACTCCATACTGTCGTACTGGTCGACAGCAACCTCCAGGAATTTCCTCAGCAAGTCCTGACCAAAACTGACTCTGCTGCCACAGCAAGACCCAGACCGGACACCTACGATCTTACTGTCACGTCTCTCACCAGGATGGGTCAAGCAGGTGTTGATGCTGCCACTTCTGCTGACTGGGTTTACACGACTCTTGCTGTCTTGACGACTGTCTCTGTGACGAGTGTTTGATCTATTTCGTCGTCTCTCGGGCTGGAATGATCCCTGGCCATCAGTGCTGTCGTGTCGAGGGCGCGGGTAACGCTCACTATTTCTTTGACCAACACATTTACTGATGTCGACACTGCCTTGTCGACTGTTTGGAGGATGAGGCTGATCATCAATACTACTTTGCCGACTTGTAGGATGGATAGGGGGGCGGCCGTCGACACTGCCCTGTCGATTGTTTATAGGAAGAGGCGGTCGACTGTCGACAGTGTCGCCACTCTTGTCTCCAGATATTACTCCGTCTACCTCATGTTGTGGTCGGACGTTGGTGGTAAAGGGTCGAGTCTTGCTACGTTGTGGAGGAACAGAGGAAGACGACTGTTGGGTCTTTGGGTGTTGTGGAAGGGTAGTGATTGAGTACAGCCGTGACCTGATGCCTCGATGCCGGGCCACAAGATTATCAGTTTTAAGCCTTATGATGTCTCCCAGGCAGGACCAGGACGAAGACGACTCCTCCCCCTCTCTTTCAGGTTTCTGTAAGTGATCACTATTGGCTGAAGAAGCATCCTGCTGCGTCATAATGGCTGCAGACGGCCACAGCCTAGTCACTCCCGTGCTATTTGCGTCTCCTTGAATAAACAAATTTCCTTCATGCTTGACGGAAGGTGTCTGATCAGTTCCCGGTGTGACAGACATGTTTGCAGAGCCGCCCGTGTCTGTATCCATTACCTCTGACAGTGTACTTGGGGATGTCTTAACATTCTGACCATTAAATTGTCTCTTTTGTACGGAGCCTCGATGATTCAGGGAGACTTTGTTGAGTGAAGCAATGTGCGCCTTGAGGTCAACAGTGTCACCAGAGGGTTTTCTTGTACACTTCATTGACTCTGATTTATTTTTCAAACTAGAACTCGAATCTGTAGTTTCAGTAGAAGCGGTAGTGAGCAACACCTCCATCTTATCTGATATTCTACTGATTAAAGACACTTTAGTCGAGGACACAGTAGCCGAGGACACACTGGTCGAGGACACACTGGTCGAGGACGTACTGGTCGAGGACACACTGGTCGAGGACGTACTGGTCGAGGACGCACTGGTCGAGGACGCACTAGTCGAGGACGCACTAGTCGAGGACACACTGGTCGAGAACACACTGGTAGTCGGGTGATCACTGGAGCCAGACATGATGGTCGACCTCCCTGCCGTCTCACCCAACACTTCATCAGTCTTGTTATGTTCTTCGTTCACATCTACAGCAACGTAGTCTCGCTCACACACGGGGTCAGAGTCAACCATTGTTTCTGATGGCTGACTCACAACATCACGTGGGGGAACAGGTTGGTGCGTGACATCAGAGCGGTTCATCTGTGAGACTAGTGGCCAGGAGGAAACACAGTATTGATCGATAGTATTCGTTAATTTACCTTGTAACGTAATGCTAGACTCTGTAGCACCGATACTTTTCCTCTGTAACACCATATGATTGTTAAATTCTTGTTGTTCTGGCAGATGTTGTGTATTTTGATTGAGGTTTCCAACACTTCCTCCGTCCAGACTTCTCGCCACTGCCACCATTTCTCTGCTAAGATGTTCCACCTCATTCATATTTATACACTGTTTGTTTATGTCTGTTTTGTTAGCGTCAGTTACCTCATCTCCTTTATTCTTGTCTCTGTTTTCTTGTTGATAATTCATGTCTTTCTGCAAACTGTATCCACGTGAGGCAGTGATTGTAGAGGAGGGAGACACAGCCGTGAGTGTTAAGGCAGGAGTCTCCTTGTCATCCCTCCAGGTGGCGGCCCCATCTTGATGTGGCCACCCGACACCACCATCAACATCAGAAGGTGGGCCGTGGGCGGTGGAGACAATCACATCAACACCACCATAACAAGGCGCCGGGTTCACTAAGACTCGTTGGGCAGTCTGTTCCCTACGACTCTTCTTTAACTCTTGAAACGAATCTCTCCGAGTTTGGAGTTTGTCATGAGACTGTTTCACTATGGTCTTGACGAAAGTGTTGCAGAACCTGGGGCCCTTGATGTAACTGGTACGCTTCCCTGTTGAGCGCTGCACCAGACTCTGTACTCTGTCCTGTAGGCCCAGGCTGGGACGAGGAACTTTACACGTCTTGTCGTTTCTCAGCATCATCACAATCCTCCTGGTCTCCTCCCGTAAGTTCTCGCCAGATGCTTTTTGTATCGGTACAAACTCAGCCAAATGGCGCTGGTTGAATGGTTTTCGCTTATCAGTTGTTGTGGTGTTTTGGTAACCTACACCTGCTGTGAGGTTCTGGGGTGATGACTGAGTATGTTTATCTGTAAGAGTTCCCCGAGAATCATTCCAAACTGTATCTTGCTGTTCATCAACAATCATCTGTGTGTGTGGATGGTGGGTGTCAGTTGAAGAGTCGTTTGTGGTGGTGATGGCAGCCTGGTCATCCTTAGTGCAGCCGGGAAACGCCTCAGTGGGTAGGTGTGTCGTACTTCCCCCAGACTTACTCCTCAGGTGGATGTCAGTGGTGGTACAGCAGGTGGTGGGGGACAGTGTGGCCATCATCACCTCCTGGCGGCCGCCCAGGTTCCTCTCACTTGAGTTTTGTGCTGTACTTCCGTCCAAGTGTGCGGCAGAGTACAGGTACTCTGTTAACGGTAAGCACATACATCCCTTCTTGTTTATATCAGAGGTCCTTGACACAACCGATGTATCCAACCAAACTTGTGATTTGGTTACGTGAACAGTATCACCAACTTGACCGTCACTTGCATCACTATTTTTAGCAAGTACTCTGCTATTTGCACTAGAACTCACACGCTCACTAACACAGTCACCATTCACCTGTGTCTCAAGTCCATCACCATGTTTCTGGCCAACACTAAACACGTATTGTTGTGGCGAGGAACCCCAAACACTGTCCCTGCCTTCCCTGTCTTTGTGTCCAACAATGTCCTCTTGAGTCATGTCCACGCTGTCTCTATGACCCTGAGTGTCATCTTGGGTCACACAGCTGCCTATATGTCCTCCGACGTCCTCTTGGGTCAAACAGCTGTCCTCTTGAGTCAAACAGCTGTCCTCTTGAGTCAAACAGCTGTCTTCTTGGGTCAAACAGCTGTCTTCTTGGGTCACACAGCTGTCCTCTTGGGTCACACAGCTGCCTATATGTCCTCCGACGTCCTCTTGGGTCAAACAGCTGTCATCTTGGGTCACACAGCTGTCCTCTTGAGTCACACAACTGTCCTCTTGGGTCACACAACTGTCTTCTTGGGTCACACAGCTGTCATCTTGGGTCACACAGCTGCCTATATGTCCTCTGACATCCTCTTGGGTCACACAGCTGTCCTCTTGGGTCACACAGCTGACTTCTTGGGTCACACAGCTGTCATCTTGTGTTACACAGCTGCCTATATGTCCTCCTGACGTCCTCCTGGGTCACACAGCTGTTCTCTTGGGTCACACAGCTGACTTCTTGGGTCACACAGCTGCCTATATGTCCTCCGACGTCCTCCTGGGTCACACAGATGTCGTCTTGGGTCACACAGCTGCCTATATGTCCTCTGACGTCTTCGTCTGTCATTGGGTCAAACAGCTGTCATCTTGGGTCACACAGCTGTCATCTTGGGTCACACAGCTGTCGTCTTGGGTCACACAGCTGACTTCTTGGGTCACACAGCTGTCCTCTTGGGTCATACAGCTGTCATCTTGGGTCACACAGCTGTCATCTTGGGTCACACAGCTGTCGTCTTGGGTCACACAGCTGACTTCTTGGGTCACACAGCTGTCATCTTGGGTCACACAGCTGTCGTCTTGGGTCACACAACTGTCTCCTTGGGTCACACAGCTGCCTATATGTCCCCCGACGTCCTCTTGGGTCACCTGTAAGGCGTCGTGGTAGTGGTCGTGGCGGGGGCTGTGAGGGGTGTGGGCGTGAGGTGCTGGGAGGAGCAGGCCGTCGGGGGCGTCGAAGAATACTTCAGGAGTGGAGGAGCCGCTGGAGGGGGTGATGGCTCCGGGCGTTACTTCACCGGGAGGGAGGAGTAGCAGGGTCGTAGGCCGTGATGCTGCAGCAGGAGAAGGCGTCACTACAGCCGCTGAACACTCACTGTCCACGACCTGAGAGGTGCAGAAGGTGTGGGTGAGGGTGTGGGGTGTAACACTCTGGGTGTGGGATGTAGGTGAGCCAACACTGGTGCCACCGGAACTGCGGCTGGCCGGGCACGTCCCCCTCCCCCCATAACTATCACGAAGATGTTCTCTGTCACTATCAAATATCTTGATGGTGGCGCCACGAGGGCCACTGTACACGTCACCATCCCTCTCCCTCCCTCCACCAGGCGTGTGGGAAGTAGATGTATTCTCCTCAATCCTCCAGGATCTGAGATTATTAATATGAAAACCCAACTTCTTCAGGAGCAAACTGTCTCTGATAGAACCGAAGGCAAACATTTTAACACGAGTCTTTATCCACTGTTTCAAGGAAAGAATCTTTTACATTTCCGGAGGATGTCCTTGTTGGCCATGATGCACCTTAACTTGACCTGACCAACTGTTGATTATCTGCTCTCCTGGGAACCCTCGCAGACACCGCCACCAGACCACTCTCCCGCAAGATGACGTTCACCACACTACTACTACAGCCAAGACAACAGTGTGCCCACCCAACCCTTTCAAACATCTGGTCTGGTCCATCTCACACACACACAGCTCATCACTCACACCAGACAGGACCCCGAAAAAAGTTGCTGGTAAGAAGGTAATAACTTACCTGCTGTAGGTAATATAAACATACTAATAATAACGCAAATAATCTTAGGAGTTATAGATGAAGATAGAGAAATATTTATTCCGTAAAAGCATCATATAAGTTTACATTGATTAGCTTGTTCGTATACATACACGGTGCAGGTATACAAACACTGTAGGCCTACATAGACAGTGTAGGCGAACAACGATAAACAACAAAACAATTCCACCAATGGCAAACCAAAACAAAACATCATTACACTTATTTTCATCCTTAAGTAAACTATAAATACCCACAGAGACATAAACAAAAACTGACACTTAACTTTATAAAAAAAAATACAAATGATGCATATTGTCCACGGGTCGGGAAAGGTTTATGATGTTAATATTTCCTGTGTCTTGGCGGAGGTAACCGAATGAGAGATGACTAATTGATAAGCATGACTCTCGCCTCTACCATTAAGGTGAAGTAAATTAGCCGTCTTGCCTCGTCGTTAAATAAATAAATAAAAATACAAAAACAATGATAGTAATAAATAATGATGATAATAATCCGGCTACATTTGTCACATATGACTTTTTTTCAAGAACCGCTGCTCCCCCCCCCCCAAGACATTGCTATTTTTTCGATATATTAAGCAATATTTAAGAGATATTTAGCAATTTTTTTCAAGATATGGCTATTTTTCCGAGATATTAGGCCATTTTTAAGACATTTGGCTGTTTCTTCAAGATATGGCTATCTTTGTCTACATATTTGGCCATCATGAGACAGTTGCGTAAAGAGCCATTACTTCTTGACAACCCAAACCTGAAGGTGTATCATGGGGCAGGTGACACATGGGCGAGGAGCGACTGAGATTAGGTTAGGTTAGGTCTCTGGCCAGGAACCCTCACTCATACAGTGGGGAAGGTGTGGAGGAGGAGTGCCGGGGGTGGTGGTGGAGTGCTGTGGGTGGTGGAGTGCTGGGTGTGGTGGTGGAGGCTGGGGGTGTGGTGGTGGAGTGCTGGGGGAGAGAATTGCTGGGGTGTGGTGGTGGGAGTGCTGGGGGTGTACAGGAGGCTGGGGTGTGGTGGTGGGAGTGGGTGTGGGAGGAGGAGGTGCTGGGGTGTGGTGGTGGGAGTGCTGGGGTGGCAGAGTGCTGGGGTGTGGTGGTGGAGGCTGGGGTGGAGGAGGAATTGCTGGGGTGTGGTGGTGGAGTGCTGGGTGTGTGGGTGGGAGTGCTGTGGGAGGGAGGAGGTTGGGTGGGTAGAGTGCTGGGTGTGGTGGTGGAGGCTGGGTGGTGGGAGTGCTGGGTGTGGAGGAGGAATTGCTGGGGTGGAGTGCTGGGGTGTGCTGGTGGAGCTGGGTGTGGTGGTGGAGTGCCGTGGGTGGGAGGGAGGAGGGGGTGTGGTGGTGGGAGGGTGTGGTGGTGGGAGTGCTGGGGTGGGAGGCTGTGTGGTGGTGGAGTGTTGGGTGTGGTGGTGGAGTGCCGGGGTGTGGTGGTGGAGTGCCGGGGTGTGGTGGTGGAGTGCCGGGGTGTGTTGGTGGAGTGCCGGGATGTCACCTGGTCTGGGTAAGCGCCAGAGGGCCAATGATGGAGTCTATCTTTGGAGTCATAACCTGTGTCATTATCGGTGTTCCTCGACCCACAGTGGCACCTCATCCTCCAAGGCCCTGCACCAGCCTCATCTCACCTCTCCCGCCTCACCTCACCACACCTTCCCTCACCTCATCACACCTTCCCTCCCCTCATCACACCTTACCTCACCTCATCACACCTTACCTCACCTCATCACACTTTCCTGGTCCTTCCCTCCCCTCATCACACCTTCCCTCACCTCATCACACCTTCCCTCCCCTCATCACACCTTCCCTCACCTCATCACACCTTACCTCACCTCATCACACCTTACCTCACCCCATCACACTTTCCTGGTCCTTCCCTCCCCTCAAAACACAACGCCTTCCTCTACCAATACACACTTAACCTAAATGGTCAAATTTAATTTCAATGTATACATAGAAGTGAAGTGTGACAAGACATGGCATTCCTGGCAGCATCAACAGCGGCCACAAATGACTGTCGTTTAAAACATAAGTTGTCACATGACGTAAGGAATGACCTCTTTTTCGGATGTCAAATAAGGTCAAGTTGGACAAAAACATAAGTGACTAATTTTATGGATCAAACGCGGCCAAAGTAAAAAAAATAAATACTGCAGGTAATTCTGATTTAGCAAAGAAATAATACTTAAAAGTAAACATTCACCATACAAAAATCACACACACACACACACACACACACACACACACACACACACACACACACACACACACAGTTACTTCCTGTTATTAGCGGATGTTCACTTCCTTATGTCTGTCCGCTAAAAATGGTATTATACTGTAAATATATTCCCGTATTATTATTATTAATTATCAACATCGTGTTTTTTAATATTATAAATGGTTTATCGTCAATGAGCGCTGCTCTTCATAAATTACGTCAGAAACTCGAATAAAAAGCCTTCAAAACAAAGAAAATATTAGAGTAAGTATTGATATTACAATCCATCTTACCCACACGACCTTCATGATGCCAGATATTGATTAAAGTCTCTAGGAATATTATCCATAACTGAACAGTATGTAAAGTTATTCAGTTCTTTTCTTCACAGGACGAAGAGGCGATGTGAGGCTGGATTCTTATCACAACTTTATCTCATAATTATATAGTTCACAAAGGTCGATGGGGCATTACACATCACTGGAGAGACACTTCTAACCCTCTACACTACACCAAACTGTCGTAAGGTATGAAAATCTATAATAACATCAAGTTTATACACAAGAACAGTTTGTTAACCTTGACAGCCACTTCTCACCACGTTCATCATTGGCCGGGAAGATATTGATGATATTATTATTAAACTCTAATAAAATGACCCATTAATATTATTTTAATATCTCTCATCAAAATATATCTCAATTATCATTTATTTCAGCAAGTAGTGTGATATAGTTTACAGATTTATGATGATTATTGACAAAAATGTGTTTTCGAGTTCAACGCCATGTAAATAAAGTGTGACGTCACGGGCCCAACTGCCTTCCCTTGCTGCAAAGGCTAAGTCGGCACTACACTTCACCTCGCCACCACATAACCACACCATACCTCGCCACCACACAACCACACCATACCTCGCCACCACACAACCACACCATACCTAGCCACCACACAACCACACCACACCACCTCACCCATTACACTCACCTTGCCCTCCTTCCTTTTAGTAAACACCAATAACAACAAGAGGAAGGTTTTAAGAAAGCAATCTCGACAGACAGACGAGAAACAGCATCAAGGGTGGCGGTGGTGCCTTTAGGTATAAATACATGACACGTCCTTGACACACACACCACGCTGCCTAAAGTATCTAATCTTCTCTTTTCATTTGACTAATAATGACTTTAACATCTAAGTAATACAATATTATCAAGCACACACATACACACACGAACATAATGTACAGGTAATGAGCTTATCCTTGATAAATCTATATTAATCAGGTCTTAAATAGCTTAGCGAGGTGAGAGCGAGGACAGCCTGGCCAAATACACTGGGGGGGAGCATATGTAAACAATAATACATTTATAGATATTTATTCAGTAATGGAATACAAAATCATATTGGTTCATCATGTAGATAGATAGATATTCAGTATAATTGCCAACTAGACATAATCCTGACAGCTGTGTCCTCTTGTTCAACCTTAATACTGTACAACCCATCTTGTACTGCTCCCCCATTATACTCATGTTTTTTTCAATTCCACTGTCATTTATGTATATACTTATAATATAAGTAAAACAAAAATAACTAAAAAATAAAATAAATAAATAAAATAAATTAATATTGAAGTGATAACCGTGGTAACATTATGAGATGTACTTATTACCACCATGCTATTGTACTATTCCAGATGTTACTAAATGTTACATAATACTTCTTTGAGATAAATGTATAGTATATATCAGGTGCCTAAAAGAGAGCTCAGGTTCTCAACTGGCTCAGCCATGTTAATATTGTTATTATTATCCACTCTGTATCTGTGTTTTTCTGGCTAAATAAACTGTTACAATAAAATCGTCATACAAGTTTACAGTGATTTATCATGTATATAGACAGTACTTTCCCTTGAACACCATGTAAGATCACAATTATAACTCCACATCGGTAGTAATTAACGTGTGTGTGTGTGTAAGATTAAATGTTGTCTCATTATTTAAACAACTTTTTGTAGGACCAACATAAAGTATCTTCCATTAAGGTTGTTTAATGATGATATTATTTAATTGTCAAGAAGTTCACCATTAGTTGGAGGTCGACCTTCAAACTCAGGTGACCTTTAGTCCTTGAAGTAGTCCATCACATCATGAAAATCGAGAGGGTCTTGCTGTGGTCTTGGGTCTTGGCTGGACTTCACCTGTGACATCGTGGTGACGTCCTTCAGTAACGTGTCCTTGGTGAAGTGAAGTAACTCCTGGGCCACGTCAAACTTACTCCAAGATTTACACAAGGTGTCTGGGTCAAATTTTCCGTTGTTGTCCCTCGCTTCATTTATTTTCCAGAAGATATAATTGTCGATGGTAGAATTGTGTATTTCGTCATCGAGTTCTTTCATATAATTGCCCATGGCGGTCTGAAGCTCGAGTAGTTCATCGTCAGTCTCACCAGGAGGTAGATGGGTGTCGTCGTCTCCGCCAAAAATGTTGTTGCCGTCGTGTGTTGCGGTAGTCAACAGCGAGAACGGTCCCTTTAGTGTAGAGATGTGTAGGTGCTGTCGCGGTGATGTGTTCCTGTCTTTACTCTCCGTTGTGAGATTATCTGCGGGTATATGGAGCGGCTCATCCTTCAGCAAGACGTTCACTACCCTGAGTGTTGGGTGAGAAGAGACGCGAGGACGCATCAGGCAGCTGTGTGGGTCCTCCTGCTGGTGGTCAACACGGAGAGTGCTCACCAGCTTCTCTTGTCCACTATCAACGGTCGCCTCCATTGTCTGTGTATTTTCTTTTGTGTTTTACAACACTTTCCTGCAATGTATCACTGTCGCTCACTGCTTCCTCGAAAAGTAATGGATCGATAAATAATGGTGGTACTATCGTCTGACCAACACCACGCCCACGACACCAGTGACGTCCTCTACACCATGCCCACGACACCAGTGATGTCTTCTACACCACACCAGTGACGTCCTCTACACCACGCCCACGAGACCAGTGATGTCTTCTACACCACACCAGTGACGTCCTCTACACCACGCCCACGACACCGAATCCATGCCCCACACCACGCCTCCCTAAAAGGTCCTTCAAGTATAGCTCTGTCTGACACGCTCACGGAGTTGAAATTGATTGACAAATCAAGAAAGTTGAGCCAGTGGAGACGAAGACTTGAGGACCGAGAGGGAGTGTGTGGTGTAGGTGAGAGGGAGGCTGCCACAGTGACACCCTGAGGAGGAGAAGGAAGAGGATGTGGTGGTGGTAGGTCCTTTGCTGATCCAGATAACGCCACCCTCCTCTCTCTTCATCTTGCCCCCTCCCTCTCTCCCTTCATCGTGCTCCCTCCCTCCCTCTCTCCCTTCATCGTGCTCCCTCCCTCTCTCTCTCCCTTCATCGTGCTCCCTCCTCTTTTCCCTGCTGTTCCCGTACATATGATCTGGGCCACTTGTCATGGTGTACATTAGTAGTAGTGGTACTTAATACACTTCGTCCTAAACGTCTTCCTCCTCTCACCATCTCATCATCCCAGGCTCAACATAAACCTGAATATAACACTATTTCCTGTTTACAGTATCGCCTTATATTCGCTTATCAGTAAGTTAATATATACATAACAAAATAAGAATATATGTTTTTTTCTTACATACAGAATAACAATTTATATTTTCTTACAGATAAATACACTAGCTCCACAAAAAGTATCTGTACGATTTTGAATTAGACAATATGACACTTCTCTACTTATCCTCGGGAACTGGGCCACCCAAACACGTCTTCATTCTTGTAATTATTTAGTGTTTTGATCTGATAAGACACGAATACCTGTCCCCTTCATGTGTGTGTGTGTGTGTGTGTGTGTTTTACATAATACTGTATATCATGAACCAGAAATGTGTCTATATGTTGCTTTCACTAAAACAAACATCTGTACCTGCAATGCTTCATAATTAATAGCCTTTAAATAAATCAACTACACCTTACGCCCTTCACAACACTAACCGCACGGCTACACCTTAAACCCTTTGACCAAGACGACACAGTAACTCTCGCGCCATTATCCATTGTTTACGAACGATAATGTGACCCGGAAAAACATTATCGATAATGCCTATCTCTTAATTTGGATTACCTGAAGATTAACCCCCAGCTTATCTCACCTGAAGATTAACCCCCAGCTTATCTCACCTGAAGATTATTAACCCACAGCTTATTTCACCTGAAGATTAACCCCCAGCTTATCTCACCTGAAGATTATTAACCCCCAGCTTATCTCACCCGAAGATTAACCACCCTAATGCTAACCTAACCAAACAATGATATCTTAATCCTCAGGTGAAAATGAACTGGATGGGGATTAATCTTCAGACAATCTCTTTACTCTTTTAAAAAATACCTAAATTCTTTGATTGAACGAGGCTACAACCTTGAACCCTTAAATAGACAGATCAACAAGAGCGGGTCAGTCAGTAGGGCATGGAGGGTTGTGACCGCGGGTGTCTGTCTATACATGATGCAGCGGTGTGTGACCTATGCCAGTGTCTGTATTGATCTCTCTACCCCTCCTCCCTTTCCTCTCCTCTCCCTCCTCCTCCTTTACTAGTGACCTCACCATCTTCACTACACAGAGTTGTCAGTTGAGGTTATCAACTCTTTGAAGGTGTGTGTGTGTGTGTGTGTGTGTGTGTGTGTGTGTGTGTGTGTGTGTGTGTGTGGAGGTTCCCAATTTTGAGATTGTAACTATCAAGTCCTCAAGTAGGTGTCAGATCACAGGTGTCACCAGTTATCAGCAACAGCGTGAATGTGTGTCAGCCAGTGTCAGCAAATCGTAGTTGTTGTGTTATAACTGGCGCAGCTGCACTAACCCTTTACCTGGTCTGACACAACTTAACCTTGTGTGACCTTGCCTAACCCTGTGACACTGCCTGACCTTGTTGACACAACCTAACCCCATGTGTCTCTCAAATATCCTCATGTCACCTCCTCCTCCTCTTCCAGTGTCATCTCTCCTCCTCCAGTATCACTCCTCCTCCTCAGCATAATGGTGTGGCTCGTTGCTCGGTTTGGGTGGTTCGTGACCTACGCAGCGTTAGTGGAGGGCGTGGTGTTGTTGGTATTCATGGGCTACGTGCGGTACGACACCTTCTACGACGTCAACAAGTGGAACTACACCCGCCAGCACGGTCACTCAACACCCGACCTACAAACATTTTATCCCAGTAAGTCGGAAGCGCTTTTGTTGTCAGCTTTTGTGTCCTGGATAGTCTAGGGGCTTTTGTTAACTGAGTAATCATGCTTTTTGGGTACTTTTTCACTTTCAAATTTAGACAAAAGTTATGTACGATATCTGGTCTTTGGTGAATTCGTGTGTTTACCGCACTGTGGAAACTGCTGTTGTTGCCAGAACCACAAAAATAACCTCACTGTCACAACTATTCCCGTATTTGATTAAATTTTGAAATAAACGTCATAAATAATATCATATTTCATGTTATTTCATAGCTTTATAGATATTATCATAATAGCTGTTCCCAGACTTACAACGGGGTTAGGGACCGACATCCAGGTCGTAAGTCGAAATGGTCATGAGTCGGAAATGCTTAAATAATACATAGAAAATCTAAAATGGGGGGTCTCTTTTTCTTCTCAGCACCATAAAACACTCATTTTTAAGCTTGCCAGCCATTTTAAAGTGAATTACAGATGAAAATTTTGTCTGTGTACTGACTTTGGGACTCGAAAATACGTAATTTGACCAAATTTTGGTACAACTGAGGCAGGTCGTAAGTGCGGATGGTCATAAGTAGAGTAGGTCGTAAGTCGGGGAGGAGCTGTACAGTGATATCCCCATTAGTCAGAACAATTGGTGCAGAGCACTTCCGGGAATGAGAGATTTCTTTGTAACGAGACGACTCTCAAAGCCAGAAAAAAAATCCCTCATCCCGGGAATTTTCTGGATAGCAGAAAATGTTCTCGGAAGTTCCAGAAATTGCCCATTACAGTGGTCCCTCGGTTAACGAACACAATCCGTTCCAGCAGGTTGTTCGTTAACCGAAACCATTGTTTCAATGGGTTTTTGGGTAATTGGTTCCAGCTCACTGAAAATTACATACAAAGTAAAAATAAATGCAGTAAAGTACACTTACTTTGAGGTGTGCATGTAGAAGGCTCCTGGTTGATGATAATGATGATGGGAATTAGAATGGGGGTGGAGGAGAAGGGAGAAGAGAAGGCATTGGGGTGGAAGAGAAGTCACCCCATGCTGCCATTTCACCCATAAAATTTTAGTTCTCTTGGTGTATTTCAAGATTATTTTCTTTAAATCAACACTGCACTGCATTATATATTGTCAATATGTAAAATATATTTCAAAATGACCAATAATTTGCTTGGAAACACAGAAAAAAAGCGTTTAGTTGAAGAGAGTCTCAAGCAAGATGTTACCTCCAGTGAAAACAGAGAGAGACTAATGCCTGTTTGCTGTGTTAACAGGCTGATTGGCGCGCATTAAACTAGTCACTTTACCTTCAATTATGTTCAATAATTGTTAAAGTGACTAAAAAATTGAATATTAAACTTTTAAAATTATTGAATAGTATAAACTTCTTGATATTTACTAAAATAGTAAGGAATTTAAGCCCTAGAACCGATTAATGTATTGGCGGACTAATACTAAAGCTGGTTGACCGGCCAGTGCAAGCGAAAACATGTTGAGGTCGGTTCGTAAGAAATTCGTTAACCGAGGCGTTCGTTAACCGAGGGACCACTGTACATCATCTCTCTAACCCGAAAAAACTCCCCCATCCCAGGAATTTTCCGGGTATCGGGAAAATTTTCTCAGAATTTTCCGGAAAATCGTTCCCAAAACCGGAATTTTCTGGAAAATTCCGGCTTTGGGAATGATTTTCTGAGAAAATTTCAATTCCGGCTATCGGAGAGTTCCGGGTTTGAGGGATTTCGGCTAGCGGAGATGTTTACTGTAATTACTGTACAGTACTGTATAGGTAAATTAAGTACTGTACAGGTATTCATTGAGCAATACAATATCTTCTCCTTTCCACTGTCACCTGCTATCTTGTGTGCCAGACAACGAGGTGGAAGAACAACATATTGGTGTAGACGGTGACCAATCCCTAATCACTTATATATTTTTAAGGTTTTTGATTGGAAGTTTACAGTGTATGTTTATTAATGTGTGTTGGATTATGGTGACTTTCTATACAACCACTCCCAACCCTACACCTCCCTACAAATGCCACCACCCTTCTACACATGCCAACACCCCTCTACACCTGTACACCTCTGGGGACAGTATTGCAGGAGGTACAGGTGATGGTGGTACTTGGGTTTGGCTTCATGATGACCTTCTTGAGGAGGTACAGCCACTCGGGCCTCACCCTCAACCTCCTCCTCACCGCCCTCACCCTCCAGCTTGCCATCATCACCAGAGGCTTCTTCACCACTGACAGAGGCTTCATTAACTTGAATATACTCAGGTGAGGCTTCAGTAAACTTCCTTAGATGAGGATTAATTAACATACAGTGAAACCCCCATCTAGCGAACTATATGGAGATGAAAGTCCGCTATATCGAGGGTCCGTCATATGTGAAACCCCCATCCAATGAACTATATTGAGATGTAAAACCTCCATCTAGCAGATTACAAGGAGAGAGAAGTCCATTATATGGAGGTTTCACTGTATTCAATTGAGGGTCTTATTATAATGAATATACTCAGGTGTGGATAATAATACACATACTCATTAACTAGCCAGGTAAGACTTCGTTAATTAGACTCAGGTAAGGCTATACTCTCAATGGATATACCCAGATGGCCTTGAAACATAAAAGGGAGGAGTGTACCCAGATGACATCATGGATATACTTGGATATACCATGAGCTTAACTCACTCCAAACTGACTTATAGCCAAAGTTCCACCACAAAAGGATATATTCTGATGGGTATACTAAGCTTAGGTGATTTTTGCCCAGAAATATACCTGTCATATATCAATTAGTATACTCCAGATATTCAGGTATACTTGTATGTTTAATTATATACATATTATGCTGTGAATATGTATACATGAATGCAGTTATATGTGTAAAGATGAGTGTATGTATGTGTATACTATAGGATATACTCGTAGGCACCCAGTTAGTCAAGCTGTAGTGTCTGGTAACTGGCTTGTGGTGGTAACTGGTTTGTGGAGGTGACTGGTTTGTGAAGGTAACTGGCTTGTGATAGTAACTGACTTGAGATGGTACTGTAACTGGCTCGGTATATACCTTCAGCATGGTTGATGCTTCGTTTACCTGTGGTGCGGTGTTGGTGTCTGTCGGGGCAGCACTGGGCAAGACTTCCCCCACCCAGCTCCTCCTCATGTCCGTGCTAGAGGTTCCTGTCTACCATCTCAACAGCCACCTCGGTCATCACCTTCTTGCTGCAGTCGACCATGGAGGTACTGTACTGTAATGAGTCATATTAATCATGGTTAGGTTAGGTTACGTTACGTTAGGGTGTTTATTTATTATCAGGTAAAATAAGAATTAAGCTGGGTTTTCCATCTTAAGTTATTAAGAATATTATCTATTAAATTGTTAAACACACACACACACACACCTCTCCCCATAACCTTATCCATACACTTGCAGGTTCCATCTTCATCCACACCTTCGGGGCATACTTCGGGGTGGCCTTTTCCAGGTGTGTCACTCGGAAGGTCGTCCACCACCACCACCACCCCAACAACACCTCCTCCTACACCTCCAATCTGTTCTCCATGTTAGGTACAATGTCTCCAAGTATATTGAGTTTTATATCTTATAGGTGTAGTGTTGCTGTAGGTGTACTGTGTGTATCTCCTCTCTCCCCCCACTACAGGTACACTACTGCTGTGGGTGTACTGGCCATCGTTCAATGGTGTGGTGGAGAGCGGCAGGAGTCAGGGAAGGGCGGTGCTCAACACGTACCTGGCCTTGTCTGGGTCCACTATGGGGGCTCTGATAACTTCTTCCCTCACACACAAGTATGTCAAAAAAAAAGAGAGAGAGAGAGAGAGAGAGTGTGTATAACTGTTGTAGCTGTTGTGAGGATTGTGAGTGAGGTGTCATGAGTAGTGTGGTGTTGTGAGTGAGGTGTCATGAGTGATGAGTGAGGTGTTATGAGTAGTGTGGTGTTGTGAGTGAGGTGTCATGAGTGGTGAGTGAGGTGTTATGAGTAGTGTGGTGTTGTGAGTAATGTGGTGTTACAGGAGGAGGAAGTGGAGGATGGTGCACGTACAGAATGCCACACTGGCAGGGGGTGTGGCAGTAGGGTCAGTGGCGGGCCTCATGATCCAACCCTGGGGCGCCCTCCTACTGGGGTACACGGCCGGCTCCCTCTCTACCCTTGGTTACACTCACCTCCAGGTTAGTAGAAGGTCATGAAGGGGTTTAGTAGGTCATGAAGGAAAGGGTACAGTGTTGATGACAACCAACCATCACTATATACCCCAGGGGTGGCTGCTGGACAGGTTCGGCATACACGACACCTGCGGGGTCCACAACTTACATGGTATGCCGGGTCTCTTGTCGGCTCTCGTCTCCGTCGGCGTCGCCCTATTCGCCTCCGAGACCAACTATGGCAAAGAGTGGGTACCACCGCCATGAGATTCACTTACAGAAATATTACAATAATGACAAGAGTATTGTTAGTCAAAACTGAACGATCATTAATACATGTACAGTCCCCTTGACTAGTGCGTTTACAGGGGCTCATCAGGTTTTGTGCAGTGTGGCAGCCCTGTGTTTGTTTACGTTCGACAGAAGGAAACTCACAATTGTAAACATAATATGGAATCAAAGTTGAACAATATTAAAACAATGATCTCATTGTAATGATTTGTGGCATGTTTATATGACGAGCCTCTGTAAATGCACTAGTGAAGGGGACTGTACATAAACATTAATATGGATGACATTAGATGTATATAAACATTGATTTTATGGGCATTAGAATTAAACAATATCTCAAACATAATCTCAATTCTTAAGCAACAATAATACATAATGGCTGGTGTGCTGCTGTAGATTGTACCTTCAGTATCCCATGATGGTTCCTGCTGCCAACACCAGCTTCCAGCAGGATCTAGATGACCTGGCTCCTGGGGAAGGTCGTACTGCAGGACAACAGGCTCTCTACCAGGCCCTTGCTACCTTCATCACCCTCCTGCTGGCGGTGGTGTTTGGCGGAGCTGTAGGTAAGTGCTGCTGCTGGTTCTTGCTGTAGTTGTTGATGGTAGTGATAAAAGCCATTTTTTGTTTTTGTGTGTGTGTGTGTATCTTAGTGTAAATATAGATGTATAAAATAGATGTGTGTTAGAATGAGTGTGTGTTAATGTCTACCTGGAATATATTACACCTTGGCGTCTGTCAGTAAGGTGCGACAGGTGAACATGTGCGACTTAAAGTTGTACGTTGTTTTCCCAGTGAACCCTCCCTCCCTCCCCCACATAACACACCGTTAATTCTTACTAACTTGACCTAACATGACCTCCACTCGTCTAGGTTTCCTCCTGACGTTCGCGCCCTTTGACCCCCTGACGCAGCCACGGCTGTACACTGATGCCCCTTGGTGGGAGCTGCCTGAGGATGGGGAAGAGGAGGAGCTAATAAAGGAGGAAGTATCAAATGGAGGGGTGAGGAGAATCTTCAACATCCAGGTGGGGGAGAGAGGAGGAGGAAGAGGAGGTGGTGCTCGTCTTCCTAGCCTCAGGGATGGGGAGTGACCACAGTAACTACGACACTCACACTTCTATCTTGAGACGTCATCCTCGAGCCTTCACTCCACAGACATCATCCTGAAACCTACACTCTACAGACGTCATCCTCGAGCCTTCACTCCACAGACATCATCCTGAAACCTACACTCTACAGACGTCATCCTCGAGCCTTCACTCCACAGACATCATCCTGAAACCTACACTCTACAGACGTCATCCTGAAACTTACACTCTACAGACGTCATCCTCGAGCCTTCACTCCACAGACATCATCCTGAAACCTACACTCTACAGACGTCATCCTGAAACTTACACTCTACAGACGTCATCCTCGAGCCTTCACTCCACAGACATCATCCTGAAACCTACACTCTACAGACGTCATCCTGAAACTTACACTCTACAGACGTCATCCTCGAGCCTTCACTCCACAGACATCATCCTGAAACCTACACTCTACAGACGTCATCCTGAAACTTACACTCTACAGACGTCATCCTCGAGCCTTCACTCCACAGACATCATCCTGAAACCTACACTCTACAGACGTCATCCTGAAACTTACACTCTACAGACGTCATCCTCGAGCCTTCACTCCACAAACATCATCCTGAAACCTACACTCTACAGACGTCATCCTGAAACCTACACTCTACAGACGTCATCCTCAAACCTACACTCTACAGACGTCATCCTCAAACCTTCAGTCTTACATCTTTCCAATCCTCCAGCACCAATGAATCTTCCGTCTTGATGAAGTCTTAGTTCAGATCTCACCAGAGGTCAAGAAGCTATACGTACTGTACTCCAAGTTCACGCTCCATATAAGTTACTTTACATGATAACTACTTACACATCAATGCATACATGGTGAACTACTCGTATATACTTGCATCAATGTAAACTTGTATGCAGATTTTAATGAATATCTATCTATCTATCTGTCCATCTATCTATCTGTCTGACCGTCTGTAGTGTGTAGCAATTTGTAGGACAGAGTTGTATTATCATTCTATATGCTGAAATAAAGTACCAATAACTTTACTTAATCTAAAGTAATAATGTTGGATATATTCAATAAATCTACTTAAGTACTTTGTTATTATTTTTCTTCTGTGTTCCATAACCTAACCTAATGCAAACCCAATTTATTACTAAATTACCTAGACCGAAACTATTGCTAATGTAACCAACCTTAATCTGATGCTAACGTAACTTAACCTAACTTAATGATAACGTAACCTAATCTAATGCTAATGTAACCTTTCCTAATGTAACTTAACCTAACACAAACTAACTTAACTAATGCTAAACAAATCTAACTAAACCTAAGCTGGCCCCTTCAGGTAGGATTAGGATGGTTAATCTTCAGGTGAAATAAGCATGAGGGAGTTGAATCTTGACACACAGGCGAGTGACTTGGTGGTGTCCAGTTCTCTCACTTTACTTACTTGCAGGTTGGGAGGTCATTCAATTCTCTGTTACACACTGCTAGCAAGTATTGGATATGTATGGGCTCTGTTATTGAGTCTGTATGGACCGTTACATATTAGTACAGTATATCACACCCTAAGGAGAAAACTTTTTTATTATTTTGACAATAGTTTTATTAGAATATAAAAATGAAACATGGATCATAAACTAAGTGCATAAAACAGTACAACATAAATGGTCTGGTAGCAACATATCTTTCACTCTCTTCCTCTCTCTTAATATTCCCGTAAACAACCACCTTCATAGATCAATTCTTCCGACCCATCGTAAAATAATTCTCTCATGCCTTTGCCGACGTTACCTGTAATGTTCTAGAAAGTTAGGTTAGGTTAGGTAAGGCTGTGTAAGTTAGGTAGGGTTAGGTATGTGTGCTTGATTAGGTAAGGTTAGGTGTGTGTGGATGGTTAAATTGGTTAGGTTAGCTTCTGTGTATTGTCGTATGGTTTTTATTATTACTTACTATCATCCAATTCTCTCCTAAGACTAAACCAAAATCATGGAAACAGACAAACGACATCAAGCACAAAATTCTTTACTCATAGCTTATAATACTGTACACAATATCTACTATAGCTTATGGACAGGAGCCTCCCATAAATATATATATATATATATCTGTGTTGATAATTGTGTTTAATACAGTGAAACCTACATATAATGGGCTCTCCCATTACATATACACTACTGTAGTCCTTTAGTTGAAGGCTTCACATATTATGGACCTCGATATAATGGACTATCTTTAGTCATATAGTCCATTAGATGACGGTTTCACATCTAACGGACCTCGATATAACGGACTATCCTCTCCAACATAGTCCGTAAAGTGGAAGTTTCACCGTGCTGTAGTTTTATGAAGGTGTTGTATCCGCTATTCCCTTCGTACTATCGCTTGAAAGTTCTGAAGCCTAAACCTGGTAATGGTCCAATCTGGTAGCTTCCCTTCTGTGTATTCTCGGTGAAACCTGAAACATGGACACTATTTGCATTAATATTTTATGAAGGGCTTTTTCTTTAATACAGTATACCTGTAACTATGTCTATAGTACTTATAATGGTTACCGAGAAGACCAGACAACATGCCAACTACGCTGGGTGACCATTACCCCGGAACAGAATCCACAAATTGATAAACATCCAGGTCCCCAATTACTGCTGGGTAGACAGAGGCAAATAGCGTAAAGAAACTTGCCCATAGTTTCACCCTGCCCGGGATTGAACCTGGGTCCACTTGCTTGTGAGGCGAGCATGCTGACCATTACACCACAGAACGCCATCCATACATATACTGTACATACATACAAGCATGCATACATACATACATACATAATACATAGAAACATATACCAGCAGTTGTGCTTGAAGGCATTAATCAACAAGTCGAGGGCTGTCTATACTGTACAGTACTGAGATTCTGAACAATAAACCTATGACAAACTGGGGTGTCTAATATTCAAGCAAAATAAACTGGGATGTCTAATATTCAAGTGAAATAAACTGGAGTGTCTAATATTCAAGCAAAATAAACTGGGATGTCTAATATTCAAGTGAAATAAACTGGGGTGCCTAATATTCAAGCAAAATAAACTGGGGTGTCTAATATTCAAGTGAAATAAACTGGGGTGTCTAACATTCAAGTGAAATAAACTGGGGTGTCTAATATTCAAGTGAAATAAACTGGGGTGTCTAACATTCAAGTGAAATAAACTGGGGTGTCTAATATTCAAGTGAAATAAACTGGGGTGTCTAATATTCAAGTGAAATAAACTGGGGTGCCTAATATTCAAGCAAAATAAACTGGGGTGTCTAATATTCAAGCAAAATAAACTGGGATGTCTAATATTCAAGTGAAATAAACTGGAGTGTCTAATATTCAAGCAAAATAAACTGGGATGTCTAATATTCAAGTGAAATAAACTGGGGTGCCTAATATTCAAGCAAAATAAACTGGGGTGTCTAATATTCAAGTGAAATAAACTGGGGTGTCTAACATTCAAGTGAAATAAACTGGGGTGTCTAATATTCAAGTGAAATAAACTGGGGTGTCTAACATTCAAGTGAAATAAACTGGGGTGTCTAATATTCAAGTGAAATAAACTGGGGTGTCTAATATTCAAGTGAAATAAACTGGGGTGTCTAACATTCAAGTGAAATAAACTGGGGTGTCTAATATTCAAGTGAAATAAACTGGGGTGTCTAATATTCAAGCAAAATAAACTGGGGTGTCTAATATTCAAGCAAAATAAACTGGGGTGTCTAATATTCAAGTGAAATAAACTGGGATGTCTAATATTCAAGCAAAATAAACTGGGGTGTCTAATATTCAAGTGAAATAAACTGGGGTGTCTAACATTCAAGTGAAATAAACTGGGGTGTCTAACATTCAAGTGAAATAAACTGGGGTGTCTAACATTCAAGTGAAATAAACTGGGGTGTCTAACATTCAAGTGAAATAAACTGGGGTGTCTAATATTCAAGTGAAATAAACTGGGGTGTCTAATATTCAGGTGAAATAAACTGGGGTGTCTAATATTCAGGTGAAATAAACTGGGGTGTCTAACATTCAAGTGAAATAAACTGGGGTGTCTAATATTCAGGTGAAATAAACTGGGGTGTGTCTAACATTCAAGTGAAATAAACTGGGGTGTCTAACATTCAAGTGAAATAAACTGGGGTGTCTAACATTCAAGTGAAATAAACTGGGGTGTCTAACATTCAAGTGAAATAAACTGGGAAATAAACTGGGGTGTCTAATATTCAGGTGAAATAAACTGGGGTGTCTAATATTCAGGTGAAATAAACTGGGGTGTCTAACATTCAAGTGAAATAAACTGGGGTGTCTAATATTCAGGTGAAATAAACTGGGGTGTCTAATATTCAGGTGAAATAAACTGGGGTGTCTAACATTCAAGTGAAATAAACTGGGGTGTCTAATATTCAGGTGAAATAAACTGGGGTGTCTAATATTCAGGTGATCCAAAAATAGTTACAACACAGTAGTACAGTATACTGTACTCACTTCACTTTTTATATATATTATACCCACCTTCCAAACTCACCTGGCAAAGTATTCCAGAACGATGACAGAATGTTTGTCCAGGTTATACGGCACCCGAGTTCCTATCATCGTTACGTCAATATCACAATACTTTCGGTCTGTAAGATGACGACAGTGGCCAGGTTATGTAACACAACTATCATTGAATTATTAGTTTTTATTATGAAGTTGTGTAATATACTTGTAACTTTCTGTCTCTCTTGTAATGTCTATGTAAAAACTGTAATTTTCTAGATACATAACCCATTACTTTACCAAAACTTAAAGCACAGTAATTCTCTAGATACAATGACTATTACTGTACCACTACTAGATAAACTATTACTGTACCACTACTAGATATACTGACCATTACTGTACCACTACTAGACACACTGACCATTATCACCATCACAATAATTCACTACTTACCAACAACTGTCTGAAGAGTTACATTGTTGATCTGAGTGACTTGAACATTTTCTGGGGATAGTACGAGATTGTTGACCTGTAATAATACAATAACTAGATAGAAAATTATTAAGTAAAATCCTCATACAAGTTTACAATTCGTTCAGCATGTATATAGACAAGGTAGGTTTATAGTTCAACATGCATATTGACAATACAATACAGTACAGATTTACAGTATAGAGTCAGGATTAGAGGTTTGTTCCCACCCAAACTGAAGCGGTATCGACCCTAAATGAGACAGAGCAACACACCAGCACCAGATAACAGTAAGGATAAGTCAGTTCAGAGACTCATTCCCATCACTCAGTTTCACCACAGGGAGGGCAACTTCTGTCCCTGACTGCACATCGACAGAGTAAGTATATACAATTTCCGATGTACTGTAGTTAGATGGAGTAGGTATACAAACAATGGTAAACATGGTAAACAGTATGGCAATATGACCAAAAATTCGAAAAAAGAACACCAGATGCTTGTATCCAGTTGGCTCCTTTACTTAGGCGTGGTTACTTATCATAGTGAGGGAAACTTATACTCAATAAATAGAAACACCTGATGATTAGTCTCCCCAGTTTATGTCATGCTGTGTTACATTGTATTATATTAGGTTTGGTTAGGTTAAGTTATGCTATGTTAGCATTAAGGTGGTTAGGTAAGGTTTGTTTTGTTAGCATTGGGATGGTTGATCAAAAGGTGAAATATACCGGGAGGAGTTAACCTTCAGGTAATCTTACACACATACCTACATACTACACCATAATCACAGTTTTATACAGTATTCTGAAACCAAAATACTGTACGGTACCTGATCGCTGGTCCACTTTGTTCTCCGGATTTTGTCCATGGCTTTCTGTGAGAGAAGACCACAGAGATCACCCCAATCACGTCTGCTAACAAGCTCCGAGATAGTGCACACAGCCTGAAAACACCGCACGATTTATAATAAACAGTACTTTATAAATACACCTTAAAACTGTTCAGATATGATAAGTGAGTTCATAACATAACAGATGTATTAGCAAAACTCTGCGGCTACCAGCAAGTGCATCACCCTGTACGTAACCACTATTTGATCTACTAATAAAACATTTATCTGAGTAGCACCAAAGATTGACCTAAACAGCACCAAACAAACACTTACCTGAGCAGCACCAAACAAACACTTACCTGAGCAGCACCAAACACACATTTACCTGAGCAGCACCAAACAAACATTTACCTGAGCAGCACCAAACAAACATTTACCTGAGCAGCACCAAACTTGAAGAACTCCTCGTCAAAGCTGGGATCCCATTCTCTCTTCAGTGTGGCTATTTCCATACGATTGTGAAGCCACTTAAAAGGATTAGGAACGTAAAACACTTTCATTCTCGCTGGTGGAGGGTCCCTTCCTGAGCTCTGTTGACTACTGGTGCCAGTGTGGAGGCTGCACCACTTTAACCTTCAACGACAAGAGCAGTGGTTAATAACACGTCGACACAAGATGGCAGAGAGTTTCACTGTTACAAGAATATGACGTTATTAAAGTTCAGAATAACCTTGACGAACACACTACAGCGGAGCCACCACCTGCACGAGAATGGACGTACGAAGCATGAAGTATTCATTAATGATGGCTGTTGTCCCTACAGCTAACTTCCACTGATGATACCTACTGTTTAAGTATTAACTACAATGTTCTTTACTGCTGGATCACCTGGCTAATCACAGGTATATATGCAATGGTTTACAGTACAGGTAAAAACTATAAAAAGATAACTGTTATGTCAACAGTAATTTTTAGGCAAGTTTGACAAGAGATTACAAGCTAACTCCTGTCTCCCAAAATAGAAAACAGAAGAATCTTGACTCTACATTGGTAAGTAACCTTGACACCAATCAGAAAATGATTTCCGGGCATTTACACAAGAACAGGCAAAGGACAAACAGCAAGATAGTCCTGGAGAACACGAGGAACTATACCAACCTTAATAATCCTGCTAATCAAACTTTAAAGCACACAGTACAGTACCTTGGGTGAGGGATATGTGGCAGTAGTGAGCTCGTCCCCGCAGCCCTGGAGGACAAGAGGGCCAGAGACTGAAGAGAACACCTATGACTTGACCTACATAAAGGTCTGATGGAACCAATCATTTTGATGTCACCCTTATCACCTCTCCTGAAAACTGAGAAAAAAAAGTTATGATATAAAATCCAATTATGAGGGAAAGAGTCAGAGAGACTTACCTGAACGACCCTTGACCCAGCCGGCCTTGTTCTGGGGGTGAGGGGGAGCATCTGTGCTCTAGACAGAAAAATTGCTAAATGCATATTTGGTTGTTACTGCTTTATGTTTTTGTACCGCTCATCTGTTGCTAATTTGGGCAGCAAGCGAATATTTGACTGATGTACGCTTCATCAGCTATGCATCACTACCTCAGATTCTCATCTTCTTATTATCATTTGAAACTTACAACAAAAAAAACACCGACAAATAACATTTGAAATCATGTGCACTATCTGTATACGTCAATATCTACCGTGACTGAACAAACAATTGATCCCCAGAATAGCACATTAATTAGTTAACCATACTAATATTCTAATGTCTTTTAAATATAAACATTAACCAGTTAACCATACCTTCAAATTTCGCAGATTAGCCAATTAATGTGTTCAGGTCTAGTGTAGAATTACGTAAATAAGATCAATAAAAAATAATTATTTAATGACGTTACATGAAATTGTCACCTGTGAAGGATTAATACACCATGTCACTCTCCTCAAGTACATGTGAAGGATTAATACACCCTGTCACTCTCCTCAAGTACACGTGAAGGATTAATACACCATGTTACTCTCCTCAAGTACATATGAAGGATTAACACACCCTGACCCTCTCCTCAAGTACACGTGAAGGATTAACACACCCTGACCCTCCCCTACCACAGGTCCTGCAGCCTCACACTCACTCCAGCCTTCGTAAACAATATCTCCGATTCCTCTGTCAACATAATTTGTTTATTTTTTTATAATTTAGGTATTTCTTATGATAAATTTATTATTTTGTATATATTTTTAGATAACATAGTTTATAGATATAGTAAAAATCATCTTATATATTTATGGGTTTTAATTACGAAGGGTATATAATGAATACAGCCTTTAGGACAATCACAGTACTCTGGGTCTCTGCTGCCATATATTGTATAAGAACCACAGGTATTATAGGATGACCAAATATTAATGATATTTATTCTGTAAAGTTATTATACAGGTTTACAATCAGATAAACTTGTCTATAATCTAGTTTTACAGCTCAGTGTGAATATATAGTGTAGACAATGTAGGTATACGGTGCTTATGTAAGAGACTGTTGACCTCTCTGTGGGGGGACACAGGCAAATGGTAAATTGTATCTGCATCTGAATTATCTCTCTCTCTCTCTCTCTGTAGTTGGATTTATATAACTTGTGGTTGATGATGAATCTTGTGGTTTGAGATAGTGTGTTCTTGTGGGTGATAACTAAATAATGTATGTATTATTGTAGGTGATGGTACTTGTTGTAAATAAATATAGTGTAAAATCTGCATATAAAATAAACCAATTTTTATTTATATATAGTACAATATTTACCGAATTAAAATGATGAATGTAAATGGATTAAGTCTAAGTCATGGCCAAGGCAGAGGAGTTGAAGGGGATGTCATGTGAGTGAGGACTGAAGACCTGAGGGAGTGAACCTAGTGAGGGAGTTGTGAGTCACCGGCTGTCACTCTTTATCACTCTTCTACTCACGTTCTATACTGACAGAAGGGTTGTCTGTGCTGGCAGGTAACATCTAGGCGATCATTTGGTGAAGAGGATAAAAGAAGTAAATTTATTTTTTTGGCCCTGAATATCTCAATTAAACTCTAGGAAACTTTTGGTCAGTGGCAAGATGTTATTGTTTGTTACTGAAGAATTATTGTTGTGAAAATTGTTGTAGAATTGTGGTTTTAGGAATAATTGTTGATGAGAATGTTTGTGAAATAATTGGATCACTTGGAGATTTTGCCTGACACCTTCAGCTTATCTTACCTGAAGATTAACCACCTTCATCCTACCTCTACCTGGTAGGGTTAGGTAACAGGTTAGTACAGTATTATTGTCATTACTCTTCAAGTGAATTAAGCTGGGGTTAGGTTAATATTATGGGGATTAATCTTAAGGTGAATTAAGCTTTGGTCTTTAATCTACAAGTGATCCATATTTCTATAATTTAATTTTGTATTGATTCTGTATTTCAGAGTACAATATTCAGCATTTTGTAGAAGACATTGTACAGTACATTATCTCCAGTTACAAATGTTCCTTTACAGAGGTTCAACATGTATACTCTGGTGACTGTGGTGGTGGTCTGTCTCGCTGCCGGGGTTCTTGGTGCTCCGGACTCTGACGAGATAATCGACCTCCCGGGACTTAACCACAACATCTCTTTCCGTCACTACAGCGGATATTTGTCAGGGGCCGAGGGGAAACATCTTCATTATTGGTAAGTACAGTACTGTATCTTTGTCTTTTTTTTTATTCCCTCTTTTAGCTGCAAGATACACACGCTCAGATATTCATTAATTAGAATAAATCCTATTTCAGAAGCAGGTGTGTGTAGATGTTAGTAATATGGCGTGACAAAATGTTTTCAGGTTCGTAGAGTCGTCACGCTCTCCTGCAGATGACCCTGTTGTGTTGTGGATGAATGGTGGTCCTGGGTGTTCCTCGATGGAAGGTCTGCTGGCTGAGCTAGGACCATACCCTGTCAACCCTGATGGCAAGACTTTGAAGGAGAACATTTATGCATGGAACAAAGTAAATGAATTATCTAGTACATATACTGTGCTGTATATATTAATGCTTGATACTACACACTATAATTATGTCTTCTCAGTCAGAAAATATACCTTTTGTTTTTCATTTCTTGGTTTTGGAAAAATATTTTATCATTGGGAATTATTGTAAGGATAGGTGTACTGTATACTGTTTATCACTAGATACAGTATATGAAATCAATAATGTTTTTGCATCTTAGGTGCATGTCTAAGTATTGCTTTAGCATTTTGCTTTTGGTGAATTTCATACTAAATCACAGCAAGATGAGGCTTGCAGGGTGAGAAAATCCCCATGATTGTTGCCCCCAAAATCGGGTTTGTAGTATTTTCCTATTAATGTGATTTTTTGTGGTTACTTTATCAGATGGCCAATGTGTTGTTCCTGGAGGCTCCTGCTTGTGTTGGCTACTCTTATGACACCAACGGTGATTGTGCCACTGGTGATGACGAGGTCTCATTCTCAAACTACCTTGCACTCAAAGACTTCTTTACTAATAAAGTAAGTCCATCTCTTTCTCACAAATTCTGTCACTTATCATATTGTTGTAAATGATGTGTTTCACCACTGCACTTCCATTCCACAACAGGGCCGACTCCAAGATTGGTTTACCAGTTTACACTAAAATGGCTACTGTGTATAGTTTCCATTATTGGTATTTGCTTTGCATCATTGGTGTAGTAAGGTTTGAATAGTGAAAAATATTGAAAATTCCTAGTTGGCTATTGCAATCTTTTGCCAACACAGATTCATGGTATAACTACAGAAATATTGTGCAAAGTAACAAGGTTCTTTCTGAACTGGGCCATACCTAGGATTTGGTGTAATAGGCTAAGTACTCTGGGCCCCACGCACATAGTGGGTTCTCACGAGCTGCAGTCACCATTACCGAAAACTTGGGTAAAGCCTTGACTGACTGTAAGTGACATTAACTTTTAAACATGTAATCAACCTCAGGTCATAAACTGGTGCTGGGAAAATTATGTAAGAAAAGAAAGTTAGCCTTAAATTATATGTGTTCTAGTCATAATATTTGTCTTTTTTATAAAGTTTTTCTTTTCTTTCAACCAACAGTTTCCAGAGTATCGCAAGAACGAGTTTTTCATCACTGGAGAATCCTATGCCGGTGTGTACGTCCCTACACTGACAGTGAGGGTACTCGAGGGTCAACAAGACTTCAACATAAACCTTCAGGGCTATGCTATTGGCAATGGTCTCTCTAGTTACAAGCTGAACGACGACTCCATCATCTTCTTTGGATACTTCCATGGTCTCTTTGGTGACGAGTAAGTTTATATTATGGTACTTGTCACTGTCCAGGAGTTGTGAGGAGAATAATACAAGATTCCCTTACTTCAGTTTGTCAATGTTATCCAAAGTGGCACCATGGACCAGACTGAACTGTACCAGGGGATTTTACCAATTGTGATGTCAACCATTGCTGCATATTAACTTTCAAGTATTTATTATTGATTTTTATTATATGAATCATTTAAACTTTTTTTTTAATAGAAATAACCCACTTTCGTAATATAATACTTGTATATTTAAACTGTAAACTGACTACTAAAAGTGCGCTTCTAGGAGATCAACAGCCCGTGTGTAAAACAAACTCATACAGTAAATAATTCTTCAGAGGTACAGTCAACTACAGTATTACATTTACGCGGTACCTTGCCAGAACCGGACTTTCACTTTCTGCGGTGCATTACTCATATACGCGTGAAGTATAATTATTATTTTTTATTTAGCTCATAAAATTCATACAAATTACCCGGCCAGAATATAATTTACATTGCTGGAATTCTTACAATATGATGATCATTTTGAATATAAACATCATGGATTTTGCATTAGACATTTGGAATTTTTGGTCTGATATAATAGTTTGGTTTGCAAAACGTGTTTTTATCTTTTTTGCAAAATATATGAAGTTTACATTCAAAATATTCCCTGACCTGCAAGGAATCCAGAAATGTCAATTATATTATCCTAACTTTAGTCTGAGGTATTATTTATTACTAAATGTTAAAATCTAATGTTTTCACCCAAACATTTCTCAGAGAGGTAGGAGCTACTGAGTTAGGAAGAGGGGGGGGGGGGATTTGAGTCCAATTTGAATTAACATTAACCTGGCCACTGTATTAAATATTAATTGTGTGAGCATACCATCATAAAATTTAGATGTTATTTTTACTACAACATAGGTATTGTGTCGGAAAAAGTGGAGTTTGGGGGTCGGGCCAGTCTCTATTGGAATTAATCCCATATGTTCTGTTGTTCACTTTACGCGGTTTTCACTTTCCGCGGTACCCTGTGGGTTCAATTGACCGCGTAAATCAGGGTACTACTGTACTGTACTAAAGTCCGTTCGCCTCTCCTCCTGAATCACGAACCTCGAGATTCAGACTCTTGAATCCGAAGCACTAGATTGATACATTATTCTGTCCATATATGTTTCGGAAGAGTAAGGTGTTGGATTTGAAAAGATAATTTTTTATGCTCGGAGTTGGATTTTTTATTACAAGAAGCCTCCTTATAATGAACTTCTCTCTCCATATAATTTGCTAAATGGAGGTTTCGCATCTAATGGACCCTCAATATAATGGACATTCTCCTCCATATAGTCCATTAAATAGAGGTTTCACTATATTCTGCTTTTCTAGTGGCAGAGATAATAATTACTGGCGATATATATTTATATATACACAGCTACTCCTCGACTTACGACCACCCGGACATACGACCACCCCAGTCGTACCAAAATTTTTTCAAATTACGTATTTTCGAGTCCCGACGTTAGTGATTGCGCTGTGTACTGACAAAATTTTTGTTTGTAATTCCCTTTAAAATGGCTGGCATGCTTAAAAGTGAGAGTTTTGTGGTGCCGAGAAGAAAAAGAGACACCCATTTTAGATTTTCTGTGTATTATTTAAGCATTTTTGACCAATTCCACTTACGTCCTGGATTTGGGTCCCTAACCCCGTCGTAAGTTGAGGAGTGTGTGTAATAATAATAATAATAAACGGTTTATTAATAGAGTTGCAGCCGGTGGCTGAAAATATACAGACTTACATTTGATTTAGACATAATGATATAATATGCATTGAATACATTTACAGGGCTGTACAGTACATAAATCAGGAGTTGTTTATTATTTTTACAGGTTGCAGTAGCTTCAGACATCATTTACAACCAAGGGCTCAACATGTATAACTTGTATGATGACTGTCCAGCTTCACCATCAGCTGGGAATTTCTCCAGAGTTGAAGCTGATTTGTCTAATATCTTTAAGGAACATAAATCTCATCCTGAGATGATGTTGAAGGCAAGGAAGAGGTGAGTTGTTGAGGCTAATACATTTTTGGGGTTTCTACTGTACTTTGGTGGATCAGGTGATCCAGAAAGGTTAAAATTGCTTAGAGTGTCCGTCGTGGTCTAGGCTATATCACTTATGAGGACTGTCCAAAAAGAAACCGACATTTTTAATTAGAGCGCCAACGAGCCGGCGCAGCGTGCTCGCGACGGGAGCGCTGTGTAGCGGTGGTCTTGACCTTTAGTCTAACACTAGCCGCATCACGCCACGTCAGTTAGTCATCGAGCTACATGCGCTAGAGTGAACGTGTGTTTTGCACTTGGCGATTTGTTGCAAGTTGAATAATGAAGGAACTTGAAGAGCAACGTGTTTGCGTGAAATTCTGTTTCAAATTGGGAAAAACTTTTAAGGAGACTTTTCAAATGTTGCAACAAGCTTATGGGGAGGATTGTTTGAGCCGTACACAATGTCACATGTGGTACCAGCGTTTCAAAAGGGGAAGAACATCCACCGAAGACGATCCCAATTCTGGACGTCAGAGTCGCTCAAATGTGGAGGTGATGTTGATCGTCTTTTTTTATTGGAAGGGGGTCGTTCATCATGAGTTTGTTCCACGTGGTCAGACAGACAATAAAGAGTTTTACTTGGAGGTCCTGAAGTGTTTGAGGGAGGCAGTGCGAAGGAAGAGGCCTAAGGCATGGACAAACAAGACCTGGATGCTGCACCATGACAGTGCACCTTCTCACGTGTCGCTCCTTATCCGTGACTTTATGGTGAAGCACGAGACGACCATCGTCTCCCAGCCGCCCTACTCTCTGGATTTGGCTCCTGTGGACTTTTTTTTTTTTCCAAAAGTTGAAATCCACCCTGAAAGGTCGTCGATTTCAGACGATAGAAGAGATAGAAGAAAATTCACTACGAGACCTGCGCACCATCCCTTAAAACGCATTTCAGAACTGGACAAAACGTTGGGAGCGGTGTATCAACAGTGGAGGGGAGTACTTTGAAGGAGACAAGTCTGATTAAGTTGTAAGTAAAGCAAAAAATTTGTTTTTTAAAAAGTTTGGTTTCTTTTTGGACAGACTTCGTATATATACTGTATATAATTTTCTCATGTTAAGTCCTGTAAGTCTGTGAACTGCCACCTGACATAATAGGACTGACTGATAAGGTTCAAGGTAGGATTGATAACGTCAAGACGGCTTATGTAAACAGCTTATGTAAAAATCCATTTAATAATCAAGGTCTAATGAGTGGTATTTTGTTTTTTGGTCATAGGATCTTTTTTCCATTTTTATACAACCAAATCTCCCTATCAATTGTCTGTATTTTGAAGTTAAATTTGTAATACCAGTTCAGTCCTTAAAATAGTGTATGACAATAAACTTAAGCTTCAACTTTTTGGGACTAGGATCTTCAAAACCTGGGATGTTGAGTCTGTGAACAGTTCTCTCCGGTACTGTGCGGTGAAACCTTTATTTAACAGACTGGATGGAGAGGAAAGTCTATTATACCAAAGGTCATTTGGATGTGAATGAAACCTCCATCTAACCAACTATATGGAAGAAGAAAGTCCATTATATCGAGAGTCCTTCAGATGTGAAATGGACTTTCATCTCAATATAATCTGTTAGATGGGGGTTTCACATCTAATGGACCCTCGATATAATGGACTTTCTTCTCCGTATAGTCCATTTAATAGTGGTTTCAATATATTTTCAATCTTCCTTTTTTATTTTTCTATTACTCTCTCCAGGATCAATAACTTGACCCTGGATCCTCCCTGCACCAACGGCACAAACCTCTTGATGTACCTCAACACCCCAGAGGTCCGCAAGGCTATCCACATCCCAGACAGCGTAGGGAAGTTTGAGCTATGCAGGTGAGTACATGGGGGAAAGTACAGATAAGTAGCTTATTTTATACCGATTAAATAGAGAAGCAGGCAGTACCTTCCCTCTGATAGCCTTTTAGAGATCATTATGTACAGTCCACACCACTTATAAGCCACACAGACTGGCAACCTCGAAATTCCTAACAGGCAACTTCACTGGGTCTATCCCTCTCCCACAACATACAAACCACAATACAATATTTGTTAGTTATGGAAAGACATAGGACAATATTTAGTTATTTAATTTAAATATATACAAAGTGACATGAACATGAGGTTACTGCATATTACACTTATTCCCTTTATTTCCAGCGACGAGGTGAATCACGACTACAAGCGAGAGTACGAATCCATGAAACCCCAGTACGAGTTTTTGACGGCTCGTGTTCGCGGTCTGGTGTACAATGGAGACATTGACATGGCTTGCAACTTCTTGGGTGACGAATGGTTTGTGGAAAGTCTCGGGCTAAGGGTGAGTCGATTTGTTGTGTGTTAAGGGTGAGTAGATTTGTTGTGTGTTAAGGGTGAGTCGATTTGTTGTGTGCTGAGGGTGAGTCAATTTGTTGTGTGTTAAGGGTGAGTCAATTTGTTGTGTGTTAAGGGCGAGTCAATTTGTTGTGTGTTGAGGGCGAGTCAATTTGTTGTGTGCTGAGGGCGAGTCAATTTGTTGTGTGCTGAGGGCGAGTCAATTTGTTGTGTGCTAAGGGTGAGTCAATTTGTTGTGTGTTAAGGGCGAGTCAATTTGTTGTGTGTTAAGGGTGAGTCAATTTGTTGTGTGTTAAGGGTGAGTCATTTTGTTGTGTGTTAAGGGCGAGTCAATTTGTTGTGTGTTAAGGGCGAGTCAATTTGTTGTGTGTTAAGGGTGAGTCAATTTGTTGTGTTGAGTTAATTACTAGACTGTATTTTTAAAAGATCTGGAGTCCTGAATTATTTACAGTTCCTTTAATGCTCATAAATTGAATAGTATATCCTTATCTGTACAGTCAATTACTCAAGTCCATTCGCCTCTCCTTCTGAACCACAAACCCAGAGATTTAAGCTCATGAACCCAAAGCAGTAGACCGATACATTATTCTGTCCATAAAAGCTTTGGATTCATGAGTCTGAATCTCGGGGTTTGTAGTTCAGGTGGAGAGGCGAACAGACTTCTGTAGTTGACTGTACAACCTTACAGATTGACATTAAAATTTTTGAATTAAGTATAGTATGAATCAGCAAACTTGAATTCTTGTAGTAAAGCAGACTACAATTCATGAAACGTCTACATACTGTATAACAGATTTCTCTCGCCATATAATCCATTAGGGGGGGGGGGGTGTGTTCACATCCAACGAGCCTTTGATATAACATACTTTCATTTCTACGTCGTTCATTAGATTAAGTTTCACATTTAAGAGACCCTGTATATAAAGAACTTTCCACTCCAAATAGTCTGTTAAATAGAGGTTTCACTGTATTGATATGGAAAGTTGTACTGTATCATAAGCATTATTCACAATATTTGAGAGAAATCTAGTTATTATGAAAGGTTTCTAATAAATTCTCCAAATTGATAGGATCCAGTATTTATCAGGCTGTTGATGTTTGCTATATTAAGGTGTTTTAAGAGAAGGTATATACCCAGTAGTTTAATACAATACAGGAAATAAGCATCTCCTGGCTTTATTTAGCTGTCATTGGTTGAATTGCCTTACTGTTTAACATTACTTGTTTATCCCAAACTGTCTTGGTACATTGGTTGTATACCTACATTGTCTATACTCTACAGGTACATGCCACACCAAATGAAATCTTGTGTGATGATTTTACTGAATATGTCTGTTTGTCTTGTCTATGATGTATATCTGATTCTTAAAGCACTGCACATGATCTCTGCAGGTGGTGGAGGGACGGAAGGTGTGGACCGAGGGAGGTCAAGTTGGAGGGTATGTGAAGCGCTTCGAGAACCTTGACTTACTGACGGTGAGAGGCGCTGGACACATGGTCCCTGAAGACAAGCCAGCCCCTGCCCTCAAGATGATCACCTCGTTCATCTTCAAGAAACCTTACTAGTAGCTTCAAGTATACCAGTGAGGGGGTCATGTGTGTTGGTACAATACTATGAAATCAATTGAAAGACTTTTTAAACAGTCCTCGTGATGAAAAGGTTGTGTTAGCATAATATTTTTGTTGACTATGTATTAAGTTTGTTGCAACACATTATGCTTATTAAAGAATTTAGTATTTTTAAGTACTTTTTATAACTATATGAGATATTAAAGAGGTCGGGTATTCACATGTGATGTTCTTTATATAATAGTTGCCCTTTCAGAGTGAGAAATAGTAATATTCAGAAGTTACCTATATTTTTCTATTGAATTATATATATATATATATATATATATATATATATATATATATATATATATATATATATATATATATATATATATATATATATATATATATATATATATATATATATATATATATATATACTCAACTCTTATGTTAATCATTTATAGGGTTCTTCACTAATTATTAAATTTTATATTATCTAAAATGAAGTACTGTATAATTTTTTTATTGACTTACAATTAAAAACATCTTTGACTATGCAGCTGAATAGTTTTATTTCCCAAATGTGAAAGATTGTAAATTCTGAGGAACTTTGAATGCCAAAGAATTTAAGAGATTGCGAGTTAATGATGAACTGTCACTGTGGTTCACCAGACCTATGTTCATTTCACATTTCGGGAGAACGTATTTCACTAAAGGCCGAAAGTATACTACAGGGTGTTTCCGAAAAAAATTATAAAAGATGCCATACAGAATTTTGCAGAGATCATGTAAAGACATGTAATTCAAACCGTACCACTGTCCTCACCAGTGGGAGACCTCGCACATCAACAAGTGAGGGCATTGTTGCGGTTGTAATGCAAGCCTTCTTGCAATCTGGAAGGCAATGTGTATAAAATTTTTCTGGAATGCCCTGTACATGTATATCACAAGTCATCTCGTATGAGCTCAACAAGATCAAGGAAAGATACAAATAGATTGAATTGACTGTAATTATCCGGATATCAACAGGTCCTTAATCAGCACGTGATTGTGGATAATAGTCATAAAATAATGAATGTAAATGTCTTGGTATTATAACACAGAAATAGATAATCTCTATATTGTAAAAATTTTACTTGAAAAGCTTTTAGTAGTAGTGTACAAAGAAAAAAATCAAGATGACTTAACAATGTCATAGTACATTATACATTAAAAACCATCACTACACACTACAACACTGACCATACCAGAAAATTTCCAGCACCGTTCACTCACAGGAAAATATCGTTGGTCTTAATCCATAAATACTTGCAGTCGGGTGTTCTGACAAGCTAAACTCCCTACTACCCAAGCTTTTTCCTGTTTAAAGCTCCATTTTTTCATAACTTTTACCTACTAAAGTCATTTATACTTCACACAAGATCACTACAACTCCCTGCCACAGTATTTTATGTCATGTAACCTCCAGCAGTTCAAACTATTGTGCTCAAGATAGTTTTAGACTGGCAAGGGGTTGAGGTGGGACAAGATCTTTCGTCACTGGTCTACAGAGAGAACCCTATACACAAAGGGTTAGCAGACTATCTCCACTAATCCCCACTATGGGGATGCCACTTTTGATTGTTTTATTTGGCTAACATCATACGATTTTATTCAGCAAAGTGAGATGCCTGTACACAATGGACCATCTGTATAAAACAATAAAATAGAAGTAACTTAAATAATTCCCTTACTGAGGAATGATTTGTTTTTAAGGGACTTACAAAATCAGCCTCTTGAGATAAATATTTTTAGCAGTAAATGTCTTAACCCAACATTATCATATGAACTTGAGCCACAAAATACTGTACTGCCAGGACCCAGTCAGTGGACACACACCAAAACTACATAAAGTGTTCTGACTGACACACAGAAACAAACAAATATTAATCCTTTACAGTACAGAGACGTCATCGGTGCCATTCATCACGCTACCACAAAATATAGAAGAAGAAATTATAAGAAAATAATGTAATAATACTAGAGTGGAATGCTGATGTCAGAGTATACAAAAAATATTTTTCAGAATGTGGCAATTATTTAGAATTGATATTCATAGAGCTGACTGGTGTAGCATGAAATTTTTTGCAATATTCTTAAATAATGTCAAAAGTGGACAGATTTAAAAAAAATAATAATAATAAAAAAGATACGATATTATGTCGCTAATGTTACAGTAAAATCAATGAGTAATATTTGTTTTTAATTGATACAATATGTGGGAATTGTGTTGAAACTTTAGTACTAAGTTCCTACTTCAATATGACACAACAATGTTTATGTAACAGAGCACACTACAGTATATGTACAGTCACTTAAAAACCTATGGATACAATATTGCGTTGAAAAAAAGGACAACGGATGATGGATTTCAGCAACCCTACCAAGGCATCAAGAGTCACAGTGATCATTCTGAAATTCATCAACACCTGGCTGTGTGACGAACATCTTCACACCTGACCTTTACCTTCAACACACAGTTACTTAACCTATCAATATACTGTACTTGTTGACTGGTGCTGAGCATATCTAAAAATGGTCACTCATATTCGATCCAATACAGTGAGACATATTTGACAGACTACTGTATATGGGAGAGTATAACCCATCAGATGTGAACCTCCATATAACAGACTATGCCTGTTAAATGGAAGGTTTTACTGTAATACCTCGAGTAATTTATCTATAGATGGGAGTATAGACAAAGCTGCTTTATAAACAGAACCTCAAAGATAATACAGGTGTAAAAATTAAGTTGGTTTATACATAGCAATTGTAAAATAGTATCTACAGCAGTAAGTTTACAAGTAAGACAGAAAACCCATTCTTGTATTTCATGTAAAACACCCAATCATGTGTAATGAAGAAGCCAAACTGAAAAAAAGAAAAAAAAGTCGTACTTTGACATAATTTTCTTCCAAAACTGAAACAGTAATCTTAATCAGGTCCAACTAAACAAACACCCACACACTTTACCTATCCATCATAATACAGTGATGTTTCTTGATACAGGTATTTATAAAATAAAAAGTTGTCGATCACAAACTACTCCACCTTCTCCTTCCTTCCTGATGATCTCCAGTATAAACTCATCACCATCTTCAGGGACAGGATGACTGGTATACTCACAGGCAGAAACAGAGGAACATATATGGCATACCTGTTGAAGGAGGAAAGTTGTTATATATACTATACTATACAGTACTGTACTGTATGTTAAATATACTCCAGTCTGAAAAGGATTAGTCTGACGATGAAGTAGTTTTAAATCCTTGCTGAAATCACCCAAATTTTACATCCTTTCAGTCATTTTCCTGAAGTTTATTGTTTATAAACTGAACACATCCATTATTCTACTTATCATTGATATAATGTGAATGGGAGGAGAAAAATAAATCTATCTCATCTGTTTAAAGGACAACTCCAGTGCTAAGTTCTTCCTAATTGACATCCAAGAGTATCAGGTATAATGGGAGGTTCAACATTAGAGACACACATTTGTGACAAGAGGAATGTAAACATAAAAAGGTCTGTCCAAAAAGAAACCAAACTTTTTAAATAGCACGCCAACGAGCCGGCGCAGCGTGCTTGCAACGGGAGCCGACAAAGCCATCAAATGCTTATTTTCAGTAGGGACCTTTGGTTAGGCTTGGTTACTGATCAGTAGTAGTAATAATATATCTTCAAAATTAAACATGAAGTTTTATAAATGAATATAAAAAGCATTTTTACTTGCTGGCTTTCAGGGTTGGAGCTTGTTGTAAAACCTTAATTTATCTGGGCAAGTAGCTCTTTATGTAACCGTTGTACCGATTCAATTTTATAGTGTATAGTACAGTATAAGGGTGATTCAAAACTTAGGGGCACAATGTATTTGACATTTTAATACAGTATATTCTGTATGTACAGTATTAAATTATTTCAAGTCATTAATTAACACAAATTACTCAAATTTCAAAATCTGAATCCAGATCCTTAACCAGCAGGTAAAGAGAGTACTGTACCTTTGTATGAATTTTGAACATAAATCCACATTCTGACCTCACGGGTAATAGGTCAGTTTTCATTTTCACAATAAAACGCCTTTTCTTTAGAAACTGAAAACTAACGTGGTAAAGCGTAAAGACAGAGTATCTGTATATTACTGTACTGAGAAAATGTTTATAAAGCTGACTTAAAACTTAAGACACAACATAACTGACATTTTAAATATTCTGTATATAGTATCTATCTCAAGAATACAGTCACCCTGGAAAAGATAGGTTCTGTCATAGGGTGCTCTGGGAACTTGTCAAGCATGGAAAATGGCTGTGAAACGATAATGATGACGATACCAAACAAATACAATACAATACAGTGAAACCTCCATTTAATGGACTTATCTCTCCATATGGTGTACTTGTGATCCGTTAAATGGAGGGTTTCGTATACAGGTATAAGCAAACCATGGTATAATGGACTTTCATTTCTATATACAGTATTGTACTAGTGCCTTAGATGGAGGTTTTACATCTATCAGACCATTGATGTCATGGACTTTCATTTCTACATAGTCCATTAAATAAAGGTTGTTTCACAGTACAGTACTTACTTTTGGTTGTCAGGGAAGTACAACAAAGCCAACATGGAGGGATGGAAGAATGCGGCATCAGCTTGGGTGAAGGATTGAGTACAGTAGAGAGTTGCCTCCTGTAGTCTTCCTTCTCTGGCAGCTTGACCACACTCCCCCCACTCCTCCACAGCTCCCCACACCCATCCTCCTACTTCATCACTGATCACCATGTTGCTGATCTCTCCGACGAGTTCACACAGCGACTGCAGGAAGTATCAGTAGAGTAGTACAGTATATGGTATAGAGATATTGTAATTATTCTTTTGCTGTAAATCAACAGCAGAAACTACTATAGTACAGTATACACACTACAGTATAAATATTCTAATTATTCTTTTATTGTAAACCAATTAAAATTTTTAAAAGTTTCCAAGAATTTTTTTAACAGTATGTACGGGTATTCAGTTAGTGTCGAAGAGTACACACCGAGACACAGTTATTAACCCCCATAAATAAGGCAACGAGGACGTGTATGAAAACATCTCGGATTTTTGTGATCGTTAACTTATGAACTTAATTCTTTAAAGGAAATTTTGAGTTATGTTCAGCATTGGTCGAAACCAACCAAAAATGTCACCCAGAAAACCTTTTTTTTTCATTTATTCTAACAGACATACAGTATATTAATTTAAGTACTTATTAATCCCTTGTGTATGGGGTTCCCTGAGATGAATAAAATCGTCTGACATTATCCAAATAAAATAATTCAAAACAAAAAAGTAAGTTTGGTATACACAAAACTTACTAAAATATTGCAACCTCTGAGTCAGTGGGCCATGAGAGGACCCCAACATCTATTAGATATGAATTGAATTGAAACAGTTTATTTTGCCAGGAAAACACAGATACAAGTGGATAATAATAACAATATTAACATAGCTGAGCCAGTTGAGAACCTGAGCTCTCTTTTAGGCACCTGATATATACTGTACTACACATTTATCTCAAGGAAGTATTATGTAACATTTAGTAACATCTGGAATAGTACAATAGCATGGTGGTAATAAGAACATCTCATAATGTTATCACGGTTATCACTTCAATATTAATTTATTTTATTTACTGTATTTATTATATTTTTTTTGTTAATTTTTTTTACTTATAAGTATATACATAAATTACAGTGAAATTGAAAAACATGAGTATAATGGGGGAGCAGTACAACATGGGTTGTACAGTATTATGGTTGAACAAGAGGACAGAGCTGCCAGTATTATGTCGAGTCAATTATGTTTATTGCAATGGTAATTACTTATCTATTTACATGATAATTTCCAATAAAACGGTTTTGATGGTACAATAAAAGCAGGTACTGTAAATATAGTAGGTGGGTGTTACAAGAAATATTAATACTTAGACAATAGATATTTTTTAAGAGATGATTTAAAGGAAGGGAGCGTAGTCTTTGCTCGGATGGGTGGGGGTAAGTTGTTCCACACCTTCACACCGTGATAATTTATGGAGGTCTGGGACTGAAAGGAGCGCATGGGGGGGGGGGTGATCTTAGTAGCTCTGGGTGCCTTAAGTTGTATCTCTGATTATTCCGGAACTGGAAATAATTATTGTTAAGCAAGTGATTGATAGATTTGTAAACAAAGAGGGCACAGCAGTAGGTGTTAATATCTTCGAATTTTAACATTTTCAATTTAGCAAATTTTTCGTTTGTTTGATCCGTTTTTTCCAGTAGGTCATTGTCCATACAACTCACTTTTGTGCAGTAACCAGAGATTGTGTTTTGAAGAGCCAAAGGCCCCCCATAGTATGTGACAGTGTATCAGGTGTTGTAAACAAGATCATGATAGATTTCTTTCATTGCAATGAGAGTGAGTGACTGTCGAGTGTGATACATGATACCGCACTGTTTATTGACTTTACTGTGAATGGCTTGTATGTGGTTTCTCCAATTAAGTTTCTCATCCACAATAACTCCGAGAAATTTAGTATTTTGTTCGCGTTTGAGGACTGTATTACCAAGGTACAGGGGGTCCAAGTCTGGGGATAAGTTTTTCCTTCTGTGAAAGATCGTGTTGTGGGTTTTCTCAAGGTTTAAGGTCAGTTTATTACGTATTACCCAGGTCCCGACTTTACCAGGGATGAAGCTTGTTGACATTTTTCTAATAAAATTGGTAAACTTAAGACTTCACAAATTTACAAATTGCCAACAAACAGGGGACACCTGTACTCATATAAATCCTAAATAACAGTAAAAATCAATATATATGAATGTACTGTACTCTGGGTCAACAAGCTTTCTCTATTTAACAAAACTCATACTGTAGTTACTTAAGTAGCGACCTCACAGTTAAGAAGTGTCGAGTGAATGTTCCATTTCAATCAAACTTTTGTAAACTCCAGAACTTCTTTGTTGGAATTGTCTGACTTGATTCCCAAGTCTTCCACCATACATACTTTCTTAACATAGATACAGTACTGTAATGGAACCAATAGTCCCCAGTAACATACAGATAAGTATGCAAGACTTTTTTTCTATTATCTGGTATGGTATTTTTTATTTCACTACTTATCAACTTGCTATTTTATTCAGCTCAGAGGATAACCTGTACACTAGGGATTAAAGGCTTGTACAGTACTTGCAATGTGATGCGAATGTTGGACAAGTACGAGGAGACTCTGGCTCGAGCTAAGCCATCCAGTTGCCACTCACTCAGCAGGGAAGTGTTCTCGGAGGGGAGTACCATCACTTTCCCCATTTCTTTCTAGAAGACACAAAAAACATGTACAGGAAAACCTCTATATAATATGTTAGTTGGGAGTTTCACATCCAGCAGACCCTCAAAATAATGGACTTTCATCTCTATATAGTTTCATTAGATGGAGGTTTCACATCTAATAAACCCTCGATACAATGGAATTTTCTCTCCCTGTAGTCCATTAAATAGAGGTTTCACTGTATACACAACAGGTAGAAATTAACTTGATCTGTCCCTTGTAGGTCATTTGTGAGCCTCTAGTCTATAAACATCAATATCATACACATACAATAACATACAATACAGTACAGGGTGTCCATAAACTATATCTGATCCATTCTAAAACTTATCAACAAAATATTATGGGTAGAACATGGCACACATGTAGAAATCTACAAAGACAAGAAAAAATTTAAGAGTTTTCTGTAAAGTGTAATTAAACCAGTGAGTTTTATCAATAATGTTTTTGAGGTTATGAAGTTATAATAAGGGTCAGCGCCTTATAAATCACTTTAAGATTAGTCCCCACTAGGTACCAGTTTTTGGGGTGGTTAAACTTCAGGCTGGTTAAGCTGAGGGGTTAAAACTTTATGTGAGCACTTGGAGGGAGGGAGGGGGGCCTAATCTTCAGGTGATCCACAAAGGCTAAAAAGTGTGAATGATCCTGGCTAAATCGCTGAAGCCCATATTGTAAATAAAATAACTCTTCTAGTCACCAACAAATAAGATAAGTCTACTCACCACCGACGGCACCGGCAATAGTCTATAAAGGTGAGTGAGCGCCGTAGTCATGACCAGGTGAGAATCAAGCGTCACGTGGCGAGTACCAGTTGTGTTCTTCTCAGCTGGAGGTATGTTGTGGATCATCACACCTCCCCATCGTGGTACCAGGAAGCTGAAATGTACAGAAATATATTTTAATTCTCGCTTGTGACGGCTAAAGTAACAGAATACAGTATAGTACCACAGCTTGGTTAGGTTAGGCTTGGGTAAGTTAGATCAGACTAGGTTAGAATAGGTCTGTTCTTTTTTTACTTTGTTATGAACTTTATTGCCCAGTATTAGTACAGGAGTAAATTGTTAGTAGTCAGAGAAAACCTGCCGAGTGCCACACCGGATAACATCTGTTCTGGGCTGGGAACTCAACCCAGTAGTGCAGTACCACCAATGATCTCCCTCTTATGCTTTCCCTCACTATCTCCTCTCAAACCATTACTCCACAATTCATTAAGAAACATCCATATTGACTTTCTTTCAAAATTTTACCAAACACCTGTGGAACTGATGTATGAGACAACCAAGAACTCAGCATCATTTTACATATTCCTTCCATTAACCAAATATACCCAAACCTCCATATAACGCACTCCTCTCTCCATAGGTGGGGGCGTTTCACATCTAACGGACCCTCGATATCACGGACTTTCCTCTCCAAATAGTCCATTAAATAAATAGAAGTTTGACTATATGTGTACCTGTTAGTCTCAAGTGGTTTGCCATCTGCCGAGTGTATCTGCAGGGGTAACTGTTTCTCTCGGGGGATATAGATCACGAAATGTAATGATGGCCTCGTCCATACAAACGACCCTGTAAAAGAGATTGCTTTAAAAATCTTTTCAAACAAGGTAGCGACATTCCACATCTACTGTACATAAGGAATAACGATGATTTACATTCCAGAATTTTTTTTCGAAAATCAAGGAATGACCTCATCCATGTTATAAAATTAACATTAATTAATTAAAAGGATGGTCAATAATGACAAAAAATTTATAATTAAAAAAGTGAATACAGGTAATTAAAAAAGTGTTGTCAACTACAAAAAACTATATACCTGTACTACAGTATACAGTACTGTATATTGCCACAGTAACTAAAAGGGGGAGGGACTGATAAAACAATTCAACCAATTAATCAATCGTCACAAAACTCCCGTACCGCACCTAACTTGGCCTCGATAGCGTTGATAGTAAGAGGCAGCTGGTCCTGGGGTAGGGCATAGTGTTCGTGTGAGGCCGACCACTGCGGAGACACACTGAGGCTGGTCATGTAAAGCACCTGTGACCTGACGATTAACTTGGTCACTTGCTCGAGTTGTTTCACCACTGGGGCCAAGTAATCTGTGAAATGGAAAGTGCAAATAGTAATGAAAAAAAAAAGTTCGCAAATACAGGGGTATACTGTATGTCCTGTACAGTCACTCAAAAGACTATATCTACTGGGGAAGAGGGGGGGTCGATGAATTTCAGAATGAACATTGCAACTCCTGTTGTCTAGGTAAGAAAGCAAAAATCCTTCTTCCATTGTCATATTTTGTGAAAAAAAAAATGTATATGGCAGATAGTCATTTGAGTGACTGTACCTGACAATATCTGATAAAAATACTCGAAATCACCTGAAGTTTAGATATCGAAGGTTATTTCACCTGAAGATTAAAGTATACACATCCCAGCTTATTTCACCTGAAGACCAATCTCCCTAATGCTAATCTAACCTAACTTAATATTACCTATTTTAACCTAACCAAACTTAATCTAACCTAACTTGTCTTAGCCTTATCTATCCTAGCTTAACCTAACCAAATCACCAAGGTAGCATTATGTAATGGGCCCCTGTCTCATTAACAGAACATATTATATAAATGGGTCAATACATCTGATATTATTTTCAGATTCACCACCCTGTAACTTTCCACTGGCTATGAGGTGACATGTTCAATGCACGTGATAAGGTGTGCCCACGGGAAGCTGCGTCATACTATGCTGTAAAGGCATATATAGCCGGCTCTCTGGCCACCTGAAGCGAGCAGTAGTTTGATATCCTTGACTAGAGGAAGACGTTATTTGAGAGCCGCAGTGGATGGCTCCGTCTTCCCTCGAGGGGGAATGACATACCCATACCGTTCTCCCTCGATGGGTCACTACTCATAGTCGCTCACAGAAAGTTACATCGTAAGGACGTGACCTTACGTTTATAATACATAAACGCCGTCCCTTTCTCATTCACTCATATACAGTGGAACTTACGGTCGATCTACACTCAGGAATTATATATACAATCCTTTTATAATAAAACAAGGAACTACAGTTTGGGTTTCGTTACTTAAACCCAAATAATAAATATATGTGAATGGCCTGGTTAATTGCACAAGTAGCCGATTCAATTAAGGTGACAAATCTTCAGGTGATCAAAATTAGTCCAAATATTTGCCTCTGGAAAAGAATGCAGCATTAGTGACCCAATCAAAGCTAACCTAACCTCAGACTCTAGACGGTAAAATCCAAATAGTTACCATTAACTGCCGTCTCAACATCCCAGTCAATCCTCGTGCGGTGTGGCTCGGGTACCATCAGCGTCAAGGTCACGTCATACCCCGGCTCTGTCGGTACCTGTGGTCGTCAAGTACACAATGGTGAGTCACTCATATCTGCCAAGTCTTACCTACACACTAAGGATGGAGACTAATATCAATTGACAGTAAACTCTCTCAATAGTGGAGCAACTGTATAAGGCCCATAAAAATCTTGGGGCAAACAAAAGGCCACAATACATCTTGGGGCAACTTTATGATTCACTAGACCCGTCACTGAAGAGGGTGAAATTAAAAAAAAGTCTTCGTCAGCAATGAGCAGAGGTGAGGGCTGAGGCAGACCTGTCTCATGGCCTCCTTGTGTTGTCCGGGCAGCTGGTGGAGAAGCTTGGTGCCGTGGGCTCGCTTGATGGCCAGGGGGTCTACCACCATGCTTTTGATCACCATAGCCAGCAGCTGCAAGTCTGAAAGTTAACTTAATTTATTTAGAATAATATAAACTGGATTTGCTTCCCAGTATTGTATAGCAGTATGTTACGATAATGATGGTGATGATGATGGTGGTGGTGTTGATGTTGGTGGTGATGATTGCAGTGGTGTTGATGTTGTACATGATATGTTTAATTATTAAAAAAGAAAAGAAAAAGGATATCAAATTTACAACACAACACACACAAGTTCTATTATAATGCCTCTAACATTATTCACACACATAAACAACAACAACATGACAAACACTCACCCACATTTTGCCTAATATATACCACTCGGTGTCGTCCAACAATCACATCCACATTGTTACTCCCGAACAGCTTTTCTTGATGGAGGACGACCAAGGCCAAGGTCCCGGAAGCGACGTATATTTCTTTGGGGATTTCGGTGTCAAGCTCTGCTAATGAGTCGACTGTTTTTATCAGTCCTAATTCTCTCTTTGTAGGTAATCTTTGTGATATGTGGAACTTGACACCTTCTGTAGAGAAATATAACCACAATATTAGTACAGTATGGTAAATTGCAAGATGTATTTGTGGGACAATTTTGAGGCAAAATGTTGATCGATATGATAAATTGTCAGAATCTACATAGTTTGTCAGCCACAGCACTGGAAAAATGTTGAGGTAATGACGGAGAGGTTAGTGAAACAGCTGTCGATTTTATTTTTGTAATTTTATGCACACAACTCAACACAATGTGACACTGAGGCAGAAGGAGGGAGTTTGGGGCATTTACTTTAATAATGCAACTGTATCACACTGTGTGTGTGTGTAAGGTAAAGATCTCTTATGTTCTGTAAAGTGTCATGTTTTGTCTGTGCTTCATCATGGAAGAAAGGAAGTTGTACACAGAAACACACAGTCGACTGATGACATCACCCTCCCCAGTGACACACAAGTTATATGGCTACACTGTTCACATCTACCTGAGTAACAGACAACCTAATGCATCACACCAACGGACTCACACTCCCCACACACAGAAAACACACTAAAACCTAATGGCATAACCATAACATGAAAGGAAATTTTATCAATGCTTAGGTCACATTCTTTCCCTCAAATACCTGTACTGTAGTAGTAATAAAATTAAAACAATACTGTACTACCAAAAATTGGCACAGCATATTAAACACTATTGTATTGTACTTCTAAATTTTATTCGGAATTAAGACAACATTTTACAAAAAACTCACGCACTGATTGAAGATTCTTTTCTAAATCGTCTGCAAACATATGCTTGGTCACACCCACGATTTTCATCCCTACAGCATGATAACGCAGTTGACCGGACAGATTCTCTATGGTGGAATACGGTAACTGGGTGCGGTAGACAGTCGTCGTGTACCACCACACGGGCAGCCCCACCAACACCAGCACTACTGCAAACCCTGCGGCTGCCCAGGCTCCCTCCTGGCCACCCATCTTGGTCTTCACTTCTTTAGCCTTGGTCATCTTCTCTTGTGTGGGACCTCACATAACCATTTCATGCAGATTAATAGTGTGACATCTGTAAGATTTGAAAATCTATATAGATACTGTATGAGACATATTCTATAAAGGATTCAAGCACACACTGTACTGCGCACATCATTGTCATCCCTAAAAATCCCATCTAATTCATATTACGCTACATAACATTCAAATGCACAGCGCTTGTAGAACCCCAGAAAACGGGAAACATTGAGAAAGGACAACTCACCTACTCAAGGTTCCTAGACCATGTGTGGTATTGTACCCAGGTATAGTTATATCATATCAAGTGTATGTATTCATAGCATTAAGGATCACTCAGGGTAGGCATAAGATGAATGTTAAAGTCCAGTTGAGCCGGACTAGGGTACTGTAAGACTAAGTGTGGAGCAGGGTTTGAAGGTCCTACTATTTACGTCTGTGAGCGTGTAGCGAACCTAACTCCAACAGATATCATATGAAAATACATGAGAACAATGATCTGGAAAAAGGATAAATGTATCAGGACTATGTGAGGTGTTGACAGTGATCTAGAAACTATACTGGAAAGGAAATATCGTGTATGCGTCGGTATGAATTTAATACACCTCGTAGCCTCACGTGACATATACCCACGACAGGTACAGTGATCAGAGAACCTTATGTCTGTGTTCAAATAGTGCACTGTGTGAGAGGAGGATCCCTCATTACAGTTTTTAAGTGAAGTTGATACACCCCCGCCATGATCATTCGGCTTTTGTTTCAAGGCGCGTCATGTACCCGCCTCAGATGCCCGTTGATATTAAAATCCCAGGCATTTAACCAAGCACTAGCAAACCAAGACCTGACCTTAGTGTATAAGTTAGGATTAATATATGTGTTTATAAGAAATGAGTGACAATATACCGTAAAGTGTTCAGGTGAGAACCATAAGAAACAAAAGTGTAAATTGAGGATTGGAAACGGTAGGCCTATGTGACGAGAAGCGGCGGGAAGCCGGCCTTAGTCTTTCCCGTTCTGCCGTCACCACAGGTCAGTGCCCTAGCGGGCTATATCCCGCCCTACAATTAAGGTTGATAAATAACAGTTACTACAGTTTAAAGCTTTGCCGGATATATAAGTGTGATAGGGATGTGTTAAGGGATGGGATAACCGCCCGTCAGGCATTATTGCTTAGTCTTTCCCGTTCTGCCGTCACCACAGGTGCCACGTGGTTGGGGTATCTTGCCGCCCGGCCGCCATTGTCTCCTGGAGCGCCACACCAGGTGGGGAATTACTCCCCACTATACCAGTCCACTATGAACCGGTGGATTCCCAGCGCACCACTCCACATGAATAGTCACAACTAAGGAGACCGTGAGAAACTGCGGTCGTCACTTGGAGCGACCTATAATACCAGGCGTAGAAATAGTGCTGGTATGTCTCTAAGTGAAGCCCCCGTCTTTACCCACCGAGGGCGGTGTGCGAACGAGGGGCCCGTTGTGTATACCTAAAAGTCACAAGGAGTCACATACTTGCAGGTATGGAGTGTAACAGGTGTGTTGCGATGGTGCTACTATGTATGATAACCGACGGTGCTACAAGCCACACCAGTGGAACAGTCTGATGTGTTAAGGGATATTGTAAGAAGGAACGACCGAGATACGGCGTTCACCGATTGTTATGCAATAAGTGGGTGGATGACCCGCCAGTAATGTAGGAGTCTGGGGCCCAGCTGGGTAACCAAAATTCCGTTGTTCTTCTGAGGAAGGCCAATTCATGTATGTTTTTTTTACCAGTGTGTTTTATAAGAAATAAATCAATGAAGACATGTTATGGTTTCACCCTTCTTTACCCTTATCGATCTGATCAATGGAAAACCTAACCCAATGCCTAGTCCGCTCTGCCCGCTACCTAACGAGCTACATGCTGTCCAGAGGGGGTCTGGTGGCAGCGACCCTTAGACATTAAGATTAGAGTTAAGTTATCCCCTTAGATTTAGTGACCCCAGTCTGGCAGTATAACACCCATATGCAACCCACATTCCACACATTGATCAACACACACACAGAAAACATATTCAAATAAAAATGAGGCACAGAATATTATATACCAAATCTTAATAGGTCTGAACATCCACTCCACCACATTGACGCCAAGGTTTGTGTTCCTAGAGAAGTAACACTATAAGCAAACAGAAGCTTCCATACTAAAAAAGGTGGAGGGAGGATAGGGGGGGGGGGGTGTTATGTACTGCCCAAGACAATGCCACACATTTTGACGGTTTCATTGACTGTTATCAATATATTGACTCGGTATGTGGATCACGTGAAGATTAGACATCACAGCTTCTTTGACCCGATAATTAAACACCTTAGTGCAGTTTTTGAGGAATAAATTAGGTTATGCTTGGTTAGGTTAGGTGTGTTAGAATAGGTTAGCATTAGGGTGATTAAGCTTCAGGTAAAGTTAGGTTAGGTTATACTTGGTTAGGTGTGTTAGGTTAGGTTAGAAATTTATCTCAAATTTCTTTTTATGGCAGAAATCAAATATAAAAAGCAATTAATTGAACTAAGAAAGAGAAAGATATTCGGTAAATTTAGTACATTCCATCCACCGCTAATCAGCCTACTGGCCGCACTTTTCTTTATTACAACGCTTATTTTCCAACGTTGGTACAAGAGGAAACCAAACTAAGCAGAGAAAACTTAACCTTACCTTACTTGGTATTGTCACCGGATTATCACTCTTCTCATATCTGTTCTCGGATAGAGATTGAAACCAGGACACTAATGAGAGAAAATGTGTCCTTTATCTAACACTGACAGGAAGCTACTAAAGATAAGGTAGGCTTGTGTAAGGGATATTTTGGTACTACAGTACAGTATATACGTCACACTTCATATTTGATGTCTTGTGAACAGTAAATGTTTTTAGAAAGTTAATCTCTTATTTTGCCCCGTTCACTGTACTGATGATCAAACATAAATACAATAGTAGATGACACATGGATCACCCGAGCGCTCGCCTCCAATCTTATTTAACCTGAAGATTAATCACCTTAATGCTAACCTAACCTAACCTAACCTTGATTTTTTTCTTTTTTGGGAGGTTAACCTTCCTTCCTGGTTGCAGTGATCTTGTAACTACTGGGCTTAAAATGTTCCAAACAAATCTATCTACCCTATTCTACCTAACCTAAAACACCGAACATATTCTACCTAACCTAACCTCATCTACCCTAACCAAGCCTAAATGAACCTACCTAACCAAACCTTATCTCACTAACCTAACCCTACCCAACCTAATCTCCGTAATACATAACATCATTAATTATGACCATTGAATGTAATAATATACTGTACTATGACCAAAATCCTAATATTACACTGAAGACACAACTACAGTATTACTCAACGAGGCCGAGCAAATACTGTACAGCAAGAACACACACCCTCCACCAGCAAGGGCGACCGCTGCTGTCTCATTCACAAATGCTGCATGACTTCTACTACACACACACACCTCTCACCTGAACTGTGTGAAACACTCAAACCCAAACCGAAACACCAATTTATCCCAAGTGAACCCCCAATCAAATTGAACCATCAAACAAACCAATGGACCCTCAGAGTTGCTACTCATCCTTTAAGTTTGGTTAGCTTAGGTCACAAAAGTTCATAGGTTAGGTCAGCTGAGGTGACAAAAGTTCCTAGTTAGGTTAGGTTAGCTTAGGTAACAAGTTCATAGGTTACATTACAAGTATATCTTGCTCTTGTTAGATTACCTACACAATGCTGTTCAGTTTTATTGTTTTTATTTTAGAATGGATATGAAGCCCCTTGAGTCAATACTGAAAATAATAAGTAAAATAATTCTGGGTCTTATAAACCTTCCATACTGTATAGTGAAAAACTAACATTAATTCCCCCACAAAGAGGAACAGTAGTAAAGATACTTAACTAACATGAACTGGTAAGAAACAGTGGAAGGGCTGAGTGACACAAATGGAGTGACTTCTTTGCACTTTATGTTGTAAAGAATACAGTAAAGAACCACCCACTCCCAGCAAACACTGAACAGCACTGCCAGAGGCTGACAGAATTTGCAATCCATTATAAAAATACTGTGTCAATTAAAAAATATGAATACTGTATATGCCTTTTTCATAACTTTAATACATTCTGCAGTAAAGATACCATAAATAATGTAATAAGCAAATACCTGTAGATCTATGGACCCTAATACTGTAGTGTTGTGTAATGAACTGAGAATTCTGTCAGAAAGTTTTCAGGTTAATCCCCTCTTCTCTCGCTCCCCTTTTCCTCTCTATATTTATCTGTATAGTATCTATACATCAATGTGTGCCCTCTCCGACATAGGAGGTCACACAAGGAAGGAGAAGAACTTATTATTTAAATACATAACTAAAAGTGAAATGAAATGTTTTTCTTTTAACTATTTCTTCCCTGGTACAGTACTGCATATACAGTACAGGTACTCCTTGACTTATGACCTACCTGACTTACGACCACCCTGACATATGATCGCCGCAGTTGTACAATTTTTTTTTAATTACGTATTTTCGACGTTAGTGATCGCGCTGTGTACTGACAAAATTTTCGTTTGTAATCCCCTATAAAATGGCTGGCAAGCATAAAAGTGAGAGTTCTCGTGGTGCTGAGAAGAAAAAGAGACACCCATCTTAGACTTTCTATGTACTGTATTATTTTTGCATTTCCGACTTACGACCATTTCGGTCCCTAACCCCGTCGTAAGTCGGGGACTGACTGTAACTGATTGGTGTCCTCAGCTAAAGTTACATGTATGCAAGATTAGACACTCTTACTACTATCAGTTCTTATGTGAGATTCAGAGATAAGAGGTTAGAGGTAGGGTGAGGGAGTCCACACAGTGACATCAGAGAAACTCTAGCCATACAACCACTACGGATGACGTCATCTTCTATAGACCTCGGTCAACAATACTGTACAGTAGGTTGCAGCAATGGCTGAGAGCAGCTCTACCACCATGAGGAATTGTTTGATTTCTTTCATTTTTTCCACAGATGTTCTCATTATCGCATTTTAAAAGAGACAACACTTACTAGAGCCTAATAGATCCTGACCTAACCAACCAAAAAATTCTACCTAACCCAGATCCCCCGCCATATTAAACAGAAAGTACTGTACATATTGATTCTGATATCTGGTACCAATGAATGCATCTTTATTGAAGCGTCATGACGTAATTTTACGTTTTTGGTGGAAGTGAGAGTACACTCGGACCAAGCAGGTCAGTTGTAAGCAAACAGATGACACGCAGTGGCTTACCAGATTTTTTGGAGGAGTAGGCAGCTACCAAGCAGGGAGGAACTACCGCCTGGGAAGATATTGGAAGCATAATGTGTTGTCTAATGGTAGACGCTGCTGCCATATGGCATCACAAAAATTGTGACCAAGTCCCAGGTTGCTGGTCTGACTTTCTGCCTCATTTACACACAATTGCAGGGTCTCAATTGTTTCTCTTACTATTGACAACACAACATACATACAGTACAGTATATTGTTTCTCATTTTTTTTAATTTTTGTATTTCTTTACAGTTTCTTTATTATTATTTATATTTTTATTACAGTGTTAATAATATTTTTATTATTATTATCATTATTATTATTTTATTTTAATTTTATTTATTTGTTATTACTATTACTGTTATTATTATTATTATTGTTACTACATTTTCGCCCCCCAGGCCCTGATGTGGGTCAGTATGATCTGTGGCCGGGTGGGCTAATCCCAGTGAAAAATAATAATAATAATAATAATAATTTACCCCGCAATTTCCCTCATACTTCATCCCTTGCCCACTACAGATAACTTATGATCATATGTACATAGAGGAAACCTAAAAAAGACTATAAAATAAAAAGTTGTCGCCTCTTTGAAAATACGTATTATACTAATGATAAGAAAATCTATGAAAAAAATTAAAGAAAATGAAACACTCCTTCTGGTGGTAGTACTGTTCTCATAAATTACCATAAGTTGCTGTTAAGGCTACTCTCTTCAAGTATTACTTACACATACAGTCATACACACACAAATACTTTTTCATTCACACATACATATTTTGGTATAATTATATTTTCGTACAACCAAGGAATCTGGTATTTTTAACACATGCAATAGATATATAACATAATTCTGAATAACTTTCATTCTATACACTTCTGTTGCAAGTGAATAAAAATGAACCTAATAGAACCTTACTTAAACAACCAAAGACACCTACCTCACACCCTAGACGGGGACTAACCCTTGCTATATTAAAGAGAAAGTACCACTACTTATTTTGATATCTGGTACCAATGAAAGCAACTTTATTGAAGCATCATGGTGTAATTGTAATTTTTTGTGGACGTAAGAGTATGGTCGGATAGAGGGAGTCGGTTGTAAAGAAACTGAGCAGACAACAATAAATCAATGGTCATTGCTAAAACAAAGGGCAGGTGTGGAGTCATTGGCTAATAGGTCACTGTCACGTCACGTCCCCCTCCCGTACGTGGTGAAGGCACATATATACGAAAACACACAAATCTTTGAGAGAGTAGCGGTGACAGGTGCTGCCTTATATAATAATAACAGAGAATAAAACACATCCAATACTCCGTTATCTGAGATTCACGAGAGTTGTAGAAGAAAAGGCATAGAATTATTAAATCTATAGACAGCAAATGCTAAAATCCCCGAAGGATATGGTTGTACATAACAAAAATACTCATACTTCATACACACATACATACAGTACATAAATGCAAGTAAATCACTGTAGGTGCGCTTGATCCAGGTATATGCTGATAACCACAAGGAAACAAGAACACACGAAGTTCCCGAGCACTTTCGTGTAATTCACATCTTCAGGGGTGAGTACATAAATATATACAATAATTCATACATGCATAAATACAGATGTATACATACTGTACATACACTGTATACTGTACACATAAATACATACTAGCCACTTCTCGTCTTATCAGCCAATGTGTAAAGCACCGATGGGTCTGGGTAGTACATCTGATGATGGCTTTGTTGTCTATCCTTGGATAAATTTATCTAACTATCCACCAATAATAAACCACAGAATAAAATTAAACCCAATATATCCACCGGCCCCGGGACAGTCTCGTACAATACCTTTTACAGTTATTAGGGACACAGTTATATGTTAGATACCCAGGAGAAGCGGTTATATACTCCACCACCACAGTGTTCACAGCCTGACGGTATAAATGGTGAACTAGATGAAACAAACACCATCAGTTAGTGATGGTGTTTACCTTGTGTGGTGGACCAGTGTTCCCACACTACCACGGCTAATATAATACAGTTACTTTATTTAAGCATATTAGATTACTAAAAGGAATATAACCCAATGTAAACATTTATTATATTATTATATAAAATTTTAGCTGATCACTGGGATTATCTGGTTCAATTAATCTGAAAATGTTTAACTAGATTTTCGTGTTAATTAACTAACATAAAATACTCTGCTATTCCCAAATAAGAACAATATGTACAATTCTGCAAAAATGATTTCGTTACAAAGTAAGTATAAATTTCCTAACTGGTTTATTATTTCTAATTATACTCAGTGACTGCCGGTGTGAACTGGTACCCTGCTGTGACACAAGAGAACAACAGGTTCCCAGGGCATTACCTTATAGCCACCCACTAGAAGCATTCAATAACGACTAAAAAGGCTGATTTTCATTGCACTACTTTGCCAGAATTCAACACAGGGTTCAGTTTTAGCATGTTACAGTAATTAGTGGGCGTTAGGCGCGGGTCGGGTCGTGTAACAAAGGGTGTTCATTGGGGCCTTCGATGTTGAGCGGCAGGAATTGGACAGTGATTACATAAGATCATCAAGATCGTCTTAGTGATGTGAAAGTATAAATCGATGTAGGATTTTTAATGCTAGACGCGATTGTATTTTTGAAAACTCAATTTCCACCGAGTTGGAGGTACAGCTGTTCTACAAGAACAGGAGAATCGACCCAGAGGAATGTGATTTCAGTATTGCTGGATATGACTTATTTACGAACCTTTCTCAAGAAACCTGCAAGAGAGGTGTGGTTATGTATGCTAGGCAAGACCTTAGAGCCAGCCAGGCGAGGGTACAGGGAGAGGATGTTTTTGAAGAGTCCAAGTGGTGTAAAATTAAACTAAAGGGAGGGGACTTACTTATCGTCGGGTGTATCTACAGATCCCCAAACTGTGGCCCACTACATCAAAGGAACTTAAAAGCCTTAATAGACAACGCGGCAATGCTAAACCCCAGCCACCTCCTTATCATGGGGGACGTTAACTATGGCGACGTCGACTGGAGAAACAGTCCACCCCAAATGACTTGAATAACCCTGCAACTCTTTTTATAAAAACTCTGGTGTTATATATATGTATGTTTATATGCTGCCTTTATTGATTATATATACATTATATATTATGTTACGTCTTACCAAAGTCAGAAAGTGTTTAGGCTTGTGTAAACACGAAATGTGGTTGGCACCTTGTAACTAACACCAGAGAATAAACTCCCCAGCTAGACTGACCATGTGACTGTCATTCTCCCATTAAATAACGCAAGATACTACATCTGGGAGATAATTTTATGTTCCAACATGTTAAAGACCCGACACATTACAGAGGGGAGCAAACACCCAACCCACTTGACCTCATCATAGCAAACGAGGAGGGTATGGTGGCCAAACTGGAACACCTTGCCCCAGTTGGCACCAGTCACCGTATAGTGTTGTCATTCAGATTTAATTGTTACCTAGTTCAAGATAAGGCCAGGCCAAGGTGCAAATATTACAAGGGAAATTACAATGGGATGAGGGAAGAAATGAGGGGTATCAACTGGCCTGATTTATTAAGGTACAAGAACGCAGACACTACGCTGAATATCATAACTAGTAAAATGGCTCATTTGATCAATAAATATATACCCAAGACCAAACCCAGTGCCTCTAGGAATACGAGGGGATCCCTACACATGAACCATACGGAGGTCGACAGAATTAAGAAGAAAACCCATAAATTCAAGACGTGGGTTGGGTCAAACGATGAGCAAGACAGGAGGATGTATGCAAGAGCCAGAAACCAAGCAAAGATAGAGTGTAGGAGGGCTGAAAAGGAGTTCCAGAGGCTGGTTGCAAGCGAGGTAAAGTCAAACCCAAAGGCGTTTTACCGCTATGCAAAGTCGAAATTGAAAACGCGAGTAGGAGTATCAGACATGACGTTTGAGGATGGTAGTTACGCAGATTCTGACCAGGATAAAGCTGAGGCATTGAACAGCTTCTTTTCCTCGATGTTCACAAGGGAGGATGCAGCTAACCTTCCTGCGTTTGAGGACAGACTGTTCGACACAGCACTGACCCACATTGTGTTCACAGAAGTGGGTATTAGAAATAAACTGTCCAGGCTAAAGGTCCATAAGAGTCCCAGCCCTGACATGGTGCAGGGTAGACCTTCACTTACCTTCAGGTAAGTGTGTTCTGCGTTGGCTTTATAGTTTTTTTTTCTTACACTT